CCTGGGCTGCAGCACCTGTTATCCGTGGGTGGGCTGGGGAGAGCCGGCTGCCCGCACCCTGTGGGAGTGGGTCTCTGAGCTGGCAGGAGTGAGGTGCTGTGTCACGAGGGGCCCATTCTGCCCTCAGGAATAGTCAGTCCCAACCCCCAAACCTTCTGTGCATTTTCCTATTGTTTGATTTCTTAATGTGCACACCCTTCCTCCTATCAAAACAGTCACAGGTCATTTGTTTTTCTTAAGGTAGAGCAACATCCATTTCATGGCATGCCTGGCTCTGACTGGGGCTGGTCCTGGGGCTGGTCCTGGGGCTAGGAACCTGAGAACCCAAGGCCTTTGAATCTAGGAGGCACTTCCGACCTCATCAGCACGGTTGTCATGGCATCAAAACAAACAACCTGAATTCCTCTGCGGAAACGCTCACTCACCCCTCACCACCCCTCTGTGATCCCCAGGCTGCAGATGGAAACACCAACACTGAGTCTCAGAAAGGTGAAGCCACTTGCCTGTGGCCACACCCTGACCTGAGGTCTGTGCTCCTCCTCACCTCCTTCCCCTGGGAAGTGCCACGGGCTCCACAGAGCCACGGAGCAGAGGTGGCAAAGGGCACTGGGCCCAGAGTCAGACACCTGGCTTCGGGGCCTGGCTTTGCTTCCAAATGGCTGTGTGGCAGAGGGCACCTCCCTGCACGCCTCTGAGCCCCAGGATCTCAGCAAATGGAGCAGATGGGATCAGACCACCCCGAGACTCCCCAGTTCAGTTATTTGGTGGTCACAGAAAGCCACAGCCCCGCTCCGAACCGCGTGGGTCACACTTCTCCCGGCTGCCCCACCTCATGCCCGACTCTGCTGACCGGTTGGCTTTCTCCGCAGAGCCATTGTCTCTGCTTCTTCAGCCAATGTGGCCGAAGCCTCTCTAGCTCCCGGTGTCCGGCCTCAGTTCTGGGGGCCAGCTCGGTCTCACCAAATTCCAATTCCGAATCCCCAGGGGAACAAACCTTAGCAAGTTGGTTTGGGTATGCCCCTTGGTCTGATCCACTGGGTCTACAGCACAAAGAAGTGGGGGCCTAGGTTGGGGTGACAGCCCCCAAGAGGCTCCGTACACAGGACAGGAATAGTGCCTGTGGCGGAAGAGATGCAGGGAGTGGAACCCCCTTCCCCACGAGGGCACCCCTAGAGGAAGCACCAGCTCCCTGGGCTCGCTGGCTCTTCCTCTGCGCACACCTTTGGTGGCTCGAGGGACCTCTTCTGGAAGAGCGGAGGGTGACAGAAGAAGATGCGAGTTGCGTAAGGATGGACCACACAGACTGCGTTTACTGCCCCCTACGCTGACCCTGGACACGGGCGTGCACGGCTAACACTGCCTATTTCTGACACTGGTACCACTTCGTCATTCAAGCGTGACGTTCTCTGTCCCTCCTGTGGCTCATGAGCTGCCAGCTCCCATGAAGTCTTTATGGCATCTCCAGTGTCCATGCCTGACTCCCCCAATTCCCATACACACCCTGATCCAGGTTCTTAGCACCTGGATCCTTAACCACGTCCCCCGACTCCAGTGGTTTCTTCTGCCCTGGAATCCGCCGTGCACCCCGCTTCCAGGTACGTGGTCCTCAACCATTGCTTTCCGCCGTGCACCCCGCTTCCAGCTACGTGGTCCTCAACCACTGCTTACCTCTGCAGCGCCCTCCCCTGCTCTACAATCCTGCCCCGTGCCTACAGGGTCGCGTCCGAACTCGACCTGGTATTCAAGACCTTGCGTGTCTGGTCTGGTCTGAGGTCTCTGATGTTTTCCCCAGCCCTGTGCCTTCACCTCGCTCCCTCACCTCCCTGAAGCCCCGGCACCCGCTGGCCCGCCTCTGCCCCCGCCTCTGCCCTGCTCTTCAGGGACGTGGCCACTTGCCATTTAGAGACGTTTTCCCAGCTGCCCCGGGTGCACCCCGCTCGTCTCTCCTCTCTGTGCAGCGTGTGGTTTCCGAAGAGCACGGAGTAGTCTTCACCTTCATCCTCAGCAGGGAGGGGAGCCCTGCACTTGGCGGGTGCCCAGGAAATGTTTGTTGCCTGGACTTCTGCTGCCTCCCCTGGGGCTTCTCTTGACCCCTCCGGGAGTGCGGGTCCCAAGTGCCAGGAGGGGACCCCCCACCTGGGTCCCTCCAGGGCCAGACAGGCTTGCAAGGGGTGGGGGGTCTCGAGAGAAGTCTCCTGCCTACCCAGATTCCCACCCCACATCACGTCTGCAGACGTAGCTCTGTGACTGCGACCTGTATTCAGGCTGGCTCCTGAGATCAGGGGGACTTGATGGGGGCTCTTGAGACTTGATTTTGGGGCACATTGTCCCCGACGTGTTCTCCTGCTTAAGCAGATGCAGCTTTAGGAGCTAAGACAAGGTCATCGGGGAAGCAGAGCTGCTGGCTGAGCTGCAGCGGAGCCTCCCCCGTGCCGGTGAGTCCGCAGCGCTTGTCAAGCCTGAGGACGGCTGGCGACATCTCTGCCGTCCCTGGTCCTTGACCCTTCCCCGGCTCCCCCGGGCCCCAGCTCCACGTCCAACCCGGAGGCAACAGAAGGACGGGTGAGGGTGTCGAGGGGACAGGTCTCTCCGCCGTCAAACAGCTGTCCCATCTGTCCTTGGGAACGGACCTCAGGGAGCCGCAGCCCGTCCTCCCTGCTGACGCTGCACAAGGGCCACTTTGCTGGTGAGCCTCGCTTTCCCTGCGGGGCCGCCCTCGTCTGGAACGGAATCGTGCTTACTCTGGGCTCTGCTGCCAAAGATGCTATTCCTGCCTGCGTGCAGGGCCTTGGCGTGTCTCCCCAGCCCACATGCCCCCGCCTCTTTGTGCACGGAACCCGTGGGTCAGACCAAGGTGGGGTCCAAGCCAAGCTGCCCAGGCAGATTTCCCCTTGAATGGGTGCCCGAGAGAGAGCAAGACAGAGCAGTCCCAGATCTCTCATGACATGGTCTCGGAAGTCACACAGCATCACTTCTGCCGAGTTCTGTTCCTTAGAAGCCAGTCACCCTGTCTGGCTCTCACTCCCGCCCCGGGGATGTAGGTTCCTCTTGAAAGAGTTTCAGTGAATTTGTGGTGCTATTTGAAAACCACCACAGCACAGAGCTGAACAATGACGTGTTTCCAATGGTTTGGGGGTTTGGTAGTCGAGGGACAGCCTCTGGGGAGTCCCCTGTGACAGGCAGAATAACCACCTCTAAAGATGCCCGACGTTTTATTTTTCATTTTATTTTTTATCCTCATCTGAGGACATTTTCTTTCTTGCATTTATCTTCAGACAGAGAGGGAGAAAGAGAGAGAGAGAGAGAGAAATATCGATGTGAGAGAGACACATTGTCTGGTTGCCACCACAGGACCCCAACCAGGGCCAGGGACAAACTGCAACCGAGGTACACACCTTTCACGGGAACTGAACCTGGGTCTCTCTGGACCGCAGGCCGACGCTCTAACCGCTGAGCCAAACCGGCCAGAGCGGTGCCTGGCGTTTCAGAACCTGTGAATAGGTTGTTACACGGCGGGGAAAGAAGTCTGATCAACTGACCTCAACGCAAGGGGACGATCCGTGTTCAGGTGGCCCCAAGCAGTCACAAAGGCCTAGCAGTGGGTGCGGGGGGCAGAGGGAGAGCCAGGCCGAGAGTGATGCCGGGTGAGAAAGACCCGACTGGCCGCGGCTGGTTTGGAAGATGGAGAGGCCGGAGACGAGAGGCGGGCAGCCTCTGGAAGCTGCAAAGGCCAGGAAACAGGCCCCCTGAGAGCCTGCAGGCGCCCGGATGGCACCCGGAGGGACCCATCCTGTGTGGCCCATCAGGGGTGCGGTGATCTGGCACAGCCCAGGGCTGTGCGCCTCCCCACCGGCCGGGCCGGCCTCCACCACGCGCGTGGGGCCATTGCTCGTATTTCTTGGGCCCCGCGTTCGGTACACGCGTAACCATCCCCTTTAAAGCGGTGAGCTCCTCGAGGCAAGGCCTGTGTTTCCTTTTGTTTTGTTGTTTAAACGTAGATCAAAGCACCCGATCCATCGCTCGTTGCTATTAGCCGTGAAACGCTGGACCAGTTATTTACTAGACTGTCTACAAGGCGAAGCAGCCGACTTGGCAAAGAGATGAAACAGGCAAGAGCCGCTGTGAAATGAAATAGGAACTCCCTGGGTTTCTCCTCCACCAAACCGGAGCCAAAATCACACCACGGAGGACAGTTCACCGAAATCCTGCTTTCTCCGTACCTTTCCCTGCTCTCACTCCGAACTAGCAGCCGAGCCTCACCTCCCCCGAGGCAGAGGGTTGGGCAGGACAGAGTGCAGGGACGGAGGTCCCGGCTCATCCTCACCTCGCAATGGCCTAAGTTCAAGGCTTCTGCAGGGGTCTGTGTCCTTTGGGGGGGAGGACAGAGGAAACCTGCCAGAGGGTAAGGAGGGTCCCCTCAGAGCCCAAGGGGACCACTGAGCGCCGGGTCCTGAGTCCTCCTGCATGCCAGACCCTGGGCCTGGGGTTCCCCTTATTACCCCAAACTCTGCCCTCCCCCCATACACACAATGCAGGAGCCAAGAACGTGGGGGGGCAGGTGGACAGAGCAGGGTGGGGCCTCCTGCGCCCGCAGAGACAGGCGTCTGCTGTCTTCAGGGCCTCCCCTCTCTTCTGACCTGGGTCTTTGCAGGAGGAGGTTGAGCGGAGGCAAACAGTTGGGAGGGGGGATGACCCTGGGGATGACCCTGAGGGTGACCAAGACAGACTCTGCCACTCGTCCACCAGGAAGCAGGAAGGGGTTGGAGTGAGAACCACGCCGACTCAGAACAAAGGAAGTGACACTCTGCGCGTTCAGTCTCGCGCACCCCCTTGGGCTTCCGGTGAGGATTTAATCCGGGTGGAGGGGGGCCTGGGGCAGGCAGTGTGGGAGCGTGCAGCCGGGGAGTGGGAAGGAGGACCCGGAGCTCTGGCGGGTTCCGCGCGGCACTAAGTCGGAAGGATGTTGTCTTCGATCGCGCACAGGTTGAAGTACAGGAAGGTCAGAACGCAGCTCCAGATGCCAAGGGCGAGGAGGGTGCCCAGGCCTGGTGTGGAAGTCTCCTGCTGGACGGGAGAGAGGCGGGACCTCAGGCAAGGTCAAGGCAGCAGCTGGCGGGCACCCCCTCCTGGAGCCTCAGGCTGGGCCACCCCGTCCTCCTTCCTGGTGCCGCGGCCCTAAGACCGGGGGCGGGGAGGGGGCAGGAGCACAGCTAAGGTCTGATGGGCGCGCAGCCCGAGCCGCTGCCTTCGGGGTGGCGGGGCACATCTCGCAGGGGTCTACCTACCCCCGACTGTAGCTGTTCTTTAGGGCACACAACATACATTTCTCCTGCAGAGGACAGAAACGGCACGAGAAAGATCATTTTTCCCTGGTCCAAGATGGCCAGACTGCTGGGCACCTCGTCAGGTTTGGCTATAGGACAGGACAGAACAATACAGGGCGCTGGGGGCAGGCACGTCCAGGGCTCAGTCCTACCTACGCGGTCGTGACTTAGGAGCTCCCCAGGCCTGGAGGGCAAGACCCTGGGGAGGGGTCCAGGCTCAGGGTCCCCGGGGCCTGCAGAGGGGTACAACGGGGAGGAGAGGGGTTCAGGAGCCCAGGGGTGCAGCTCGCGGCGGGTGGGGGTGGGCTTCACTTACACAGCAGGCCCCACACTGATGGAGGGAGTCCAGCGGGTCCCTCTTGAGTTTCTGCAGGGCCACGTTCTTCCTGTGAGCGGACAGCGCCGCCCCCTCCGCGCCGTCCAGTTTCCTGAGCCGGAGCTGGGAGTCTGCGTCTGGCTTTCCGAGCCTGAATTCGGGGTGCTCCTTTGCTCTTCTCAGGGGACTGGGGAGTCAGGGAGGGCGGAGTTGGGGGACAAGTCCCCACATGACAAGGGGGTAACCAGAGCGTGGGCAGCTGTGGAGGCCTTGACTCCAAGCCGCTGGGGCCTGAGAGAGCAGGCCAGCTCCTTGAAGGGCCTGAGTCCTCTGAACCCCGAGGACATTTAGCAAAGTGGGGGGCACGTTAGGGATGAGGAGAGAGGGGTGCAGGCTATACTTACAGCTTGGTGTTTTTCTGTATATTTATTAAAACATCCATCTTCTCATCCATATCCTTCTGCATTTCCTTCAAGAGAGAAGTCACAGCTGGACTGTCCACCGTGAAGGGCTTTCGAAGGTCCTTTCCCCTGCCCCCTGCACCCTCTCAGAGACCACACCTCAGCATCTTCCCTCCTCAGAATCGTCCCTGGCCTTGGGTGAGCGGCCATGGGTGACCGGACACGGGTCACCTCCCCTCCCCCCTCCCCATTCCATGAGGATGCTGAGCGCAGGGGCGTCATCGGGCTTGTCAGAGTCTCCAGGTGAGCCAGAGGCAGGAACTGTTTCACCTGAACTCACACTGGGATGAAGCCATTCGCTGCTTCGGTTCAATGACTATAAAATGACAGAACCAGGAATACAAATCGTGTGACCCCCCCCCGAAGACACTTTGACCCCAATGTTTGGACCCAGAGCCTGTGTGTTTGCTCCATCTTTTGCCCAGGTGCTGGCGGAAATGGACAACACAACGTAGAACCGACAGCCGCTGAGAGGCCCCTCCCACGTTCCGCTCACCAGCAGCCAACAGGTGGCAGCCCTCAGCACGGCTGGGACCTGTGCGTGTGACCTGGACAACTGGGCAGGGACGGTGGCCACAGAGAAACCCTCGGATGGCAGATGTTATCGGAGACAATACTTGTGATGGATATATCAGGGTTGGATCACACATTATAAAATGTACACTAAAGATAATTTGCTCTGCCCTGGCCAGTTTGGCTCAGTGGTTAGAGCGTTGGCCTGTGGACCAGAGAGTCCTGGGTTCGATTCTGGTCAAGGGCACGTACCTCAGTTGCAGTTCCTCCCCGGCCCTGGTCGGGGTCCTGCAGGAGGCAACCTGTCAATGTGTCCCTCTCACATCAATGTTCCTCCCTCCCTCCCTCCCTCCCTCCCTCCCTCCCTCCCTCCCTCCCTCTCTGTCTGAAGATAAATGTAAAAATATCCTCGGGTGAGGATTAAAATATAATAATAATTAAATAAAATAATAATTTGCTCTGAGGCAAACAATTTTAATTAAAAAATAGAAGTTTCAGAAACAGTTGACTGAACTGTGGTAAAAACTTGATCAAGAAAGTATACTCTCTGGGTGAAGACATACTTTTTTTTTTTACTCCTTGTTCAGATAGAGAGGGAGGGAGAGAGAGGAAGAGAGAGAGAGAGAGAAACATCGACGTGAAAGGGACACATCAAGTGGCTGCCACCCGCACAACCCAACCAGGGCTGGGGACAAACTGCAACCGAGGTACATGCCCTTAGCGGGAACCGAACCCGGGTCTCTCTGGACCACAGGCCGATGCTCTAACCGCTGAGCCAAACCGGCCAGGGCAAAACATACTTTCTTGAAAGGCATTTTTAAATGTTAGTACACATTTCGAATCAAATATCTGTATTCATAAGTAGAGTCAAAATAGCCTTGAAGTAAAAATTTCCTCTGGGTCCAAAGAATCAGTCAAACATCGCGCATTCTTACAAGTCTCAGCGTCGCTTCGAACTACCCGTGTCCCCAGCTGACCTTGTTTTCTCTTCTAAATGAGTTCCATGTCCCTGCCACATGGTCACTGTCGCCACTTTCTTCCCATGACACAGAAGACTTGGGAGTCATCGTGGATGTGTGCCTCTCCGTGCTCTGTACGGGATCTGTCACCGGGAACGTCAGAGTCCCTTCCAGGCGTCTTCCAGGCTCACCCTCTCCTTCTGTCCCCACACCTGGCCGGCTCGCTTCACCTTGAGCGGACGCAGCTTCCTGTGATCCGTCTGCTGCGGACGACCCCTCCGGCTCCCCGGGGCCCGGCCACCTTGCCAACAGCTGCCGGCCCGCTCTCTGAAATGCTGCGCCTGGCATGTTCCCCGACTCAGAACCCCCAGAGGCCCCTTAGCGCTTACACAGCCCAGTCCCAGCCTGTCTGCCGGCTCTCAGAAGCCTCATTACCCGCAGCCTCCGTGACCTTCCGTGTCATTGCTATTTCCCCACACGATCGCACTTTTACGACAGATCTCCCCACCGACCGTGTACACTTCGTGTTCCTCCTGCCTCCACGCTGTGCGCAAACCGTGCCCACGCCCAAAAGAGGGTCCTTGGTGCCTGGCGTGCCCAGTCCTACCCACCGAGAACGCTGTCGGCACTGTACTGCAGACAGCACTTGCCCTCTGCAGACAATCTGGGTACCGCAGAGCAATATAAGAGAGATAAGATCATCACCTGGAAATAACACTAACCCTTCTGCTATATTTCTTTCTAGTCTTTTTTCTGTATGTTCCATTTACCTATTATTTTTCCGTGTAGCTGAGCTCAGCCTCTACACATTACTTGTATCTTGCACTGTTTACTTCTGATTATAAGCATTCTTTCCTTTTTTTATTATTAATTTATTTTTGTGACAGATGTTTCTCCTTTTTCCCCATTGACACCCTCCTCCCTATCCCCTGACCCCGTACCCAGTTTTGTTGTCCGTGTCCATGTAAGCATTTTTTTCTAAACACTCCTGCTAATGGTTCCTCATTTTCATCATATGGATATGCCATAACTTAATTGGCTATTTCTCTACTGTTAAAATTGTGGTTATTTCCTAATTTTTGCTATTACATGAATACATATCCATCCATTTATCCATCCATCCATCCATGCTGGTACTTGTGATTATTCTCAGAGGTTAAATTCTGAGAAGTGGAATTGATAAGTCAAGGGGTTTGAATACTTTTTGATACCTATAGCCTAGTCCTGTTCAGTTTTGTACACACTGGGACTCTGAGCACAGAGAGCATTCCTGTCTTAGTCTGTAACTGTCGTAAATGAAAACTTCGCTTATTTGAATGTGACATCCGGTCATTGCATTTGCATTGTTTGATTACTCCTGAGGTAAACTCTTAATATTTACTGCTTCTTAGCTATATTCTCTTCTGTGGATTGTGTTCCTACAATTTTGCCAGTTTTCTATTTGGTTCTTACAAATTTGTGTGAGCTTTATATGTTACAGATAAAAAATATTTGTCTATGTCTATCATATTCATGAAAAAAAATTGTTTATCCAAAACTGTTGTGTGCTTCTTAATTGTTAATGGTGCTTCTGTTATATTTTCCAAAGTTATTTATTTTTATTTTTTTTTATTTTTTGGTACGTGCCCCTAGCGGGAACCGAACCCGGAACTCTCTGGTCTGTAGGGCAATGCTCCAACCGCTGAGCCAAACCGGCCATGGCCAAATTTTTTTATATTGTTAAATATATCGATATTTCCTCTGTGATTTCTTCCATTGCATTTATGCTTAGAGCATCTAGCTTTTAAATACTTCTATACACTTTCTTCTTATTGGTTTTTAGTATTTAAATTCACTTTGTAGACTCAGTTAACAGAGTTAACGACATTGAGTTTTTCTTCATATCTTCAAGCAATGTTAATAGTACACAATCCTTTCCTTCCCACTAACCTTTAAAAAAATCCATCTTCATCATATTTTCAGTTTTATAGAGCTGGGGTTCCCGGACTGGCGTGCACAATGGAATCACCTGGGGATCTTTAAGACCTGCCGACCCTGGACCTCATCGCAAGAGGTCGACGTGATTGTTATGGGGACAAGGGGGCCGTCAGAGCCGCATGTCAGGGTTCCAATGGGCAGCCACAGGGAGCACCTGTGGCGGATGTGCCAAGGCCTGGTTCTCATGCAGGGGCGAGCATCACAGTGAGCGCTTTAAGCACTGTGACCACCTGTCCATCTGGGCCCGGGCCTGGGCATAGGCTGTGACAGGGCGGAGGCTGTGACAGGGCGGAGGCTGACAGGGAGGAGGCTGTGACAGGGTGGAGGCTGTGACAGGGTGGTCCACGCTGGTTACCCTTGGGCTGTACCGCCTTAATCTGAGGATGGTGGCTTTATTATGAATGATAATATCTAATAGGGGTAGTTACAGCGCTTGAAAATTTACAGATATCTGCTTTTGCCTATGATGCTTCCGCATCGATGGCTCTCAAAACTTCCACCTGGAGAAGGTGAGAAAAACCCAAGGTTGCAAGTCTCATCGAAATGGGACCTGGGCTGTTTTCTTTTTTTTTTTTTAATCCTCACCCGAGGACATTTTTTGTTCAGATAGAGTGGGAGGGAGAGAGAGGAAGAGAGAGAGAAACATCGATGTGAAAGGGACACATTGAGTGGCTGCCACCCACATGACCCAACCAGGGCTGGGGACAAACTGCAACCGAGGTACGTGCCCTTAGCGGGAACCGAACCCGGGTCTCTCTGGACCACAGGCCGATGCTCCAACCACTGAGCCGAACCAGCCAGGACCCTCCTCTAAATTCTTAACCAACTGATATCCAGTTATCATTCACCTTGTTACTTACGTGGTCATTCTTCCTTGCAATAGAGTTTGGGGCGGGGGCTGGTGTCTCCTCCCACAGATCCTACATGGTACCGGCCCATGGAAGGCACTTGGAAAATGCTTACCTTCATAATCTCCACGAATTCCTGGAGTTTATCAAAATCCTTGTCCATTACATCTTTTATCTAACAAGGAAGAGAGGCACAGAGCATATTACTGATTGTGGAGTCATCTCTGGGGCCTTTTAAGCAAAGGGCAGCAGCTGCTCTGCTGGAGGGAGCTCCGGGAACCCACTAGTAATGGCTCATTAGAGCACGTTCCGCCGTGGCCGGTGTGGCTCAGCGGCTGGAACACTGGCCCGCCGACCAGAGAGTCTCGGGTTCAGTTCCCGCTAAGGGCATGCACCTCTGTTGCAGTTCGTCCCCAGTCCCTGTTGGGGGTGTGGGTGGCAGCCACTCAATGTGTCTCTCTCACATCGATGTTTCTCTCTCTCTCTTCCTCCCTCCCTCCCTCCCGCTCCACCTGAAGATAAATGCAAAAATGTCCTCGGGTGAGGATAAAAAAAAAAGAAGCCAGTTTCCTCCAAGGGGTCAGTAGGCACCATGAAGTCAGCACCACCACCAGCGTCGACACAACTTAGTCTGGTGACTGCCGTGTGGAGCGCGGACCAGTTTCAGTGACACCCCCCTGAGCATGCCCCTCCTGCAGGAGGGTGCTTTCGGGGTGCTTCCGGTGGTTCCATCACAGAAACCAGGAGAGGTCTTGCTCCGCAGCTTGCTCGGGGAGGTGGGTAGGAAGAACTGAACTGGTCCCTGACTGCCCCCAATTCCAGTGCGCCCCTCTCTGTCACTGGAGCTGTAGGTATCTCCCAACCTTCTCCAGAAGACACCGTTGAGAGTCCTTATCATTCAACACTGGGCTGAGCATCAGACAGACAGACATCCTAAGTGGCCTTAAATGCTCCTAAGTGGCCTAAATGCTCCAGCGATTCAGGCTGAGCTCCTTGGACTGCTTTGTCCACGCGATTCCTGATTTCTGTCACTGCTCAAAGTGAGGCACCACACCTCCCTGGGAGCTGCCCTTTACCTTCAAGGTCTGAAAAGTCTCTCTCATCCCTTACCTGTTTTATCTCCTCCATTTTTTCCTTGAGCTCTTCCCTCACCTCCCTGAGATCATTCTGCGGAAACAAAATTGGGGGGAGGAGTGAAGACACACCTTGGATGGAAGGGAAAGTCCCGGGCACGGACAGAGGAGGGGCAGAGACACCTGCCGGCAGGGAGGAGAGAACAAAAGATGCTGCTAACAGGAGAGCCTGCCTGGCGTGGCTCAGTGGATGGCGTGTCATCTCATGAACTGAGAGGTCTGGGTTCGATTGCCGGTCAGGGCACAGGCCTGGGTGGTGGGCTGGATCCCCAGTAGGGGGCGTGCAGGAGGCAGCCCATTGACGCTTCTCGCATCGATGTTTCTGTCTCTCTCTCCCTTCCTCTCTCTCTAAAATATCAATGAAAACATATTGAAGAAAACAACAGGAAAGCCCAGACAGTGTGGCTCAGTGGACTGAGCGTTGCCCCGTGCACCAGGAGGTCACCGGCTCCATTCCAGGTCAGGGCACATGCCAGGGTCGCGGGTTCCATCCCCGGCAGGGAGCGTGAAGGAGGCCGCGGACTGATGTTTCTCATCGATGTTTCTCTCTCTCTCGCTCTGTCTCCCTTCCTCTCTCTGAAATCAATAAAAACATATTAAAAGAAAACAGGAGAGTGGGACCTCCAGACACCGTGTGCCTCTGATACTTCTGGGACGGGACTGCCGAAAATGCACAGACAACCAGACTGGGGTCAAGTCTACAAAGACATGGTCTGTGCGCCTCACAAATGTCCGTGCCCAGGAGGCTGAAGAACTGCTCCCGGTGACGGGGGGCTGAGGACAGGCGGAACCTCCTCTCAACCTGTCATCCCAGGTTGGGTCCCAGACAATAGGCTGTTTTTTCTTTCGTTGTGAAAGACATTAGTGGGATCACTGTTGAAATTAGAGTAAGGGCAGTAGACGAGCATTGTGTCCATGTTAATTTCTGATTTTGATGTTTTGATCATTTTACTGTGGTCATTGAGAGTGTTCTTGTTTTTAGGAAATTTACCCTGAAATTTGAGAGAAGCATGCTCTCAGTGGTTCAGGAAATATACACACACACACGTGTGTGTGTGTGTGTGTGTGTGAGAGAGAGAATATATACATATATGAGAGAGAGGGAGCTCACTGGTTGAGCACTGACCCATGCACCAAGAGGTTGCCAGTTCGATTCCCAGTCAGGACACATGCCCAGGTTGTGGGCCGGATCCCCAGTGGGGGGCATGCAGGAGGCGGCCAATGAATATTCTCTCTTATCGATGTTTCTATCTCTCTCTCCCTCTCCCTTCCTCTCTAAAATCAATAAAGAAAAAATATTTTTTTTTAAAAAGAGAGAGAGAGGGAGAGAACTATGATTAAATGCCAACATTTGGGGAATCTGGGTAAAGGGTATATTAAAATTCATTGTGCCATATTTTGAAAATTTTCGGTAAGCCTGAAATTATTTCACAGTAAAAAGAAACAAACCTCAAGAACCAGAGGGAAGGAACTCACAGGCCCGAGGCCCACCGCTCATCCCCCGCAGAAGCTGTTCAGCTGTCCGTCCCCCCCCCCCCCCCGCCCCTTCACTGGGCTGACCCCATGCCTGCTGCCTGGGTCCACACACTTACCTTTAGCTCTCGCGTCCCTCCCAGTTTGGTAAATGGCCCTTCTGGTTTAATTCCTTTGTAGTCACAGGTCTGTTGATTGACACCAGAAGCACGGTATTGAGAGCACAAGCGGGAGGTAAGATCCCCCGAGTGTCCGGCCCTCCCTCCCGGGGCCCCGCCACATAGCGGTTCCCTCCCTCCTCCAGTTCTCTGAGCTCGCCTCTCCTCTCCCCTCCGGCCTCAGCTCTGCCCCTTGGCTCTCGGCCCCCCAGGTCTCCCTATTTTAATTCTTGCAGGGCACTGACACTCATGGACGCCTCCTTATTTACGCCTTGCTCTGGCTCGTTAGTGTGATGTTAGGAGGGCAGAGAGCTGGCCCGGCTCTCAGTGCACCCCAGCGCTGGGACAGGTCTCGGCCACCAGCAACAGCGGATGCCCCTGCCTCCAGGCCACCTCCCCACGGCCCTCAGGCCTGGCAGCCAACGTGGCCCCCAGAGAGCGTCTTACTTTGATGGGCTCTGGCTTCAGCTCCAGGTACACGGCCTTGTAATTCTTGTTCTGCAGAGAGAGGCGTTGGGATTCGGCCTGGCAGGATCAGGACTGGGGAGGTGCCACCGATCCGCCCCGGCCCACAGGTCCCCAGCACCCGATCCAGGAGACTCCGCCACGCGGCCATAGCCCTTCTGAGCATCTGCCCGGCCGCGGGGCCCCGGGCGGGAGGCGCCCCGAGGAAGCCGTGTAAGTCTATTTCAGGGGCGCAGACTCAGGCCTACTCCCAGCTGTCCTCCCTCCTGGCTGTGTCTACTGGGCAAGTGATTAGGTCTCTCTGGCCTCCCTTTCCCCATCTGTCAGGCGGTGGGAATAATCATGTTTATCTAGTCAAGTCGCTGTGCGCCTTCGACATGCCCCTCGGAGGTGGGCCTGGTGCAGGCCTGGCGAGGGGCACCCCGCAGCGGCGGCAGAGGGTGTGGTGATGTGCGCCCTGGCCCGGCAGTCGGTGGAGGCCTCTGTCCTTCCCGCCCAGGCCAGGAGCCCCCCACCCTCCCTCCAGGCTGGCTGGCCACTGCCTGCTCAGAGCAGAGAAAGAGAAGCCGGCAATTCATCAGCGGCCTCCGCACCCCGACCCGTTTCCCTTCAGCGGGGGCTCGAGGCCCCGTGGTCCGGCTCTGTCTCCTTTACCAGGTTTTTCTTCAGTTCTGCCCTCTTGGCCGACATGATGGAGGAGGCCTGAGTGTTCTTCTCCCAACCTCCACACGATGGGCCCTGTGACCAGGCCACTGTCCTATGCAGATTATGGGCCACGCTGGGGTAGGGTGACCCCTCTGTGTGGAGCAGCTGAGGTCACAATGCCCAGGACCCACCTGTGGGCCAGGGGTGTCACCCAGCTCTGAGCCTGCAGTGCCTTGGCCGCTGGGACAGGGGATTTAGGTCAGGTTCCAAGGCACAGGGTCTGCTTCCTGCATGGGGGGGTGTCCTGCATGGGGGGGTGTCCTGCATGGGGAGTGTCCTGCATGAGGGATTGTCCTGCATGGGGGGGTGTCCTGCATGGGGGGGTGTCCTGCATGGGGGGGATGTCCTCCATGGGGGGGTGTCCTGCATGGGGGGGTGTCCTGCATGGGGGAGTGTCCTGCATGGGGGAGTGTCCTGCATGGAGGAGTGTCCTGCATGGGGGGTGTCCTGCATGGGGGGGGTCCTGCATGGGGGGGATGTCCTCCATGGGGGGGTGTCCTGCATGGGGGGGTGTCCTGCATGGGGGAGTGTCCTGCATGGGGGAGTGTCCTGCATGGGGGGTGTCCTGCAGAGGCCACTCGAGGGACTGTGCCTGTTCCGGCCGAAGCACAAGGCGCACCTCAGGGGACGTGACACTCGCTGCTCCTCCCCAGCAGGCTCAGCTCCGTGCTGCGCAGACCAGCCGGGGGGTCCGCCCGAATGGACTTCTCCGGGCCCACGCGGTCCCCTCTGCCAGGACCTCCCGACAGTTCCCAGCCCCGTGAACTGGGCCCCGTCTCCTCCTCGCTGTGGCTGGAGATCCCCCCGGACCTTGGCTCGGTTTCTTGGCTCCGCGGAGCTGAGCAGATCACATGAGCCCACGGGCCTAAATATCAGGAAACCGGGTCTTAAAAGAAGCCAAGGTCTCATTGCAAAACTGCTCTGGAAATTATACATGCATGCTCATCATCGTCTGGACAAACATCGAACCAGACCCACAGCTCCAGGCTTGTGCTCCCAGGACATCCCCGTTGTGGTCACCACGTTCTGGAAGGGCCGAGGAAATCCCCTTGACGCCCCGAATCAAGTGGTCTCGCGTGGTCCTCTTCTCCTTGAAGGTTTAGCCGCCGCAGGAAGCACCAGGTCGACACCGCGAGGCTGGGTGTGGCTGCGGCATGACTGTTCCTGCCCGTGCTGGGCGGCCGACCGCACAGAGCCGGCTCCCTCTGCCTAACCGTCCGTGCGACACCCATCGGCGCGGGGCCAGGCGCCTCCCGCCCAGCCGGCCCCACCGCGGCCTGGTGGAAACGGGCACTCACAGCAGAGAGGCGGGAGTGACGCGTCTCTTTTCTCCAGCGTGATGTCATTGGGTTTCCTCCTCTCTACGAGGATCCTGGTGTTTCAGTTTCCCAAAGACAATGTTGGAAAGGCTGGTGGGGAAGAGGAGAATTCAAGATGGCCTTAGGCCCGGCTGATAGGGCTCAGTGGGTGAGCGTCGACCCAGGCACCAAGGGGTCACCGGTTAGGTCTGGGCACGTGCCCAGGTTGTGGGCCCGATCCGCAGTGGGGAGCATGCAGGAGACGGCCAGTCAATGTTCTCTCTCATCGATATTTCTCTTTCTCTCCCTCTCCCTTCCTCTCTCTCTAAAACTCAATAAAGAGCCCTGGCGGGTTTAGCTCAGTGGTTAGAGCATTGGCCTGCAGATCAGAGAGTCCCGGGTTTGGTTCCTACTAAGGGCATGTACCTTGGTTGCAGTGTGTCCCAACCCCATTGGGGTCACATGGGTGGCAACCACTCGGTGTCTCTCTCACATAGATGTTTCTCGCTCCCCCCCCCACCCACTCTATCTGAAGATAAATGCAAAAAAATGTCCTCTGGTGAGGATTAAAAAAAAACAAAAACAAATCAGTAAAGAAAAAAATTTAAAAAGAAAAAGGCCTTGGGCCTCTGAGTTTGGTCTCTTGTGACTCCAGGGGTACACAATCCCAGCCTCTGGCCTCAGGTGAAGCCAGGCCCAGCCACATGCAGGCCCAGGGAAGGTGAATGTCATCGTGCTTTCGGGCCTGTTGGACCCCCGGGTGACCCAGGGTTCTGAAGTCCTCTGACTGGGGCAGAACGTTTCATCACGGTGCCCAGAGTCCTGTGGCCTGCAGCCCACCTCCACTGACCTGTCCCAGGGGCCTCGCTCCTTCAGCCCCCTGGCCACGTTCTGGGCAGTCCGAGTGCTGCCCTCAGCCAGAGGGGCTCACTGGCCCCAGCCCAGGGGACCCCACAGACATTGCTTAGAGACTTAATGCGACTGGTTCACGCACTGTCCTGCTGACCGATTTACAGACGCCTGCCACAGCCTCCCACTGTGAGGTGGTCCCCCCGCTCACGGACACACTGGTCATCTCTATCAACACTGTGTCCGACCTCGGCACAGCCCTACTCCTGTTCTATTGTTTCTGTGGAAAAGTATCCAGTTTCTACCATGGGAACTTCTAGTACCTCTGTTTCAGGAACAAAACACAAGATTCTGAGCAGATGAACGAAGCTCTCCAGCTAACTCAGCACAGTTAACGGGACAGGAAAAGGCAGGGCGACCGCATCGTGTGAGGACTGCAGACTTTCTTCTCCTCGGCATTCATGCGACGGCGTGTCTGCAGGGCCCCTCGGCATTCATGCGACGGCGTGTCTGCAGGGCCCCGCAGCGCCCAGAGGGACCTGTGCCCGTCCCACCGCCAGCCGTCACAGCACGGCCGGCCGTGTGCGACAAAGGCCACCAACAACCCGAGGCGTCCGATCCTGCCAGTCGCGGCTCCTGGGCCACCTTGCTTGGCGGGTGTCCCCACCTCTTTGTGGGGGAGTCTGAACAGAGGAGGGTTGTACACCGGCTCTTTCAGCCTCTGTGCTCGAAGGCTCTCGACTGTGGCCACCTTAGTCCCCGACGGCCTTCCCTCCACCGATGACACCTCCAAATCCCCCTTTGTCACGGAAGCGACCAAACTGAGTGCCTCCTCTTTGGATGACCCTTGTTGCAGGATGACATGGATTTGACCAGCACAGGTCACCTACATGTGGATTTTTTTTAATAATAACCACGCAAAGTGCTGTAAATGTATTTTCCTTATGATTTTCTTTCTCTCTCTCTCTTTTTTTTTATCCTCACCCGAGGATATTTTTCCATTTTTTGTTCAGATAGAGTGGGAGGGAGAGAGAGGAAGAGAGAGAGAGAGAGAAACATCGACGTGAAAGGGACACACTGAGTGGCCGTCACCTGCACGTCCAACCAGGGCCGGGGACAAACTGCAACCAAGGTACGTGCCCTTAGCGGGAACCAAACCCAGGCCTCTCAGCAGGCCGATGCTCTAAACCGTCCAGGGCTGATTTTCTTTCTTTTTTGTTAATCCTCACCCGAGGACTTTTTTCCATTTTTGTTCAGACAGAGTTGGAGGGAGAGAGAGGGAGGGGGGGAGAGAGAGAGAGAGAGAAACATTGACATGAAAGGGACACATTGAGTGGCCGCCTTCCGCATAACCCCAACCAGGACACCAGGACACGTTTACTGAGCACTTACTATGTGCCCTTGACTGGAACCAAACCCACGACTCATTGGTCTGCGGGCTGACGCTCTGACCGCTGAGCCAAAATGGCCAGGGCTCCTTATGATTTTCTTAACATTTTCTTCTGTCTAGCTTTATTACAATACATTCTATAATACACATAACACAACATATATGTTCATCGACTGTTTATGTTATTGAGAAGGCTTCCTGTCAACAGTAGGCTCTTAGTAGTTACATTTTGGGGGAGTCAAAAGTTCCATGTGGATTGAAAACTGCACGGGGAGTTGGCACGTCTGACACCCCCAGTGTGAGCGGCTCTCAACTGGCTGCTCTGCGTGGTGGCCACGGAGGGCCGTGGGAGGAGCCAGCCTCAGCCCTGGCAGCCCCTCCCACTTCTGTGGCTAGGAGGGAACCACGAGGCCACACCTAACTGCAAAGGGTGCTGGGACTTGTGCCAAGGTTCTCCCAAGAATAAGAGGAAAGGGGCTTGAAGAGCGGTTGGCCCACCTGCCACCCCTTCCTAGTGCATCTCACCTGTCGTCCCTAACTCCCCTCGGAAGAAAACCCGCCTGTGTTCTTCTGTTTTCAGTGCGAAAGGGAGGGAGCAGAGAAGGTCCCCGAGGGGTTACGGTGGACCCCCGGGGCTGGGACTGCACCTCCTAGCAGGTGTGAACCGGCAGAGTTAGAGCTCGGGTTCGGATCCGCCTCTCCGTCACCCAAGCGGCCAGTGGGCTGGGACGTGGGGACAGACTGTAACGCTGACTTTGTCCGGGGCTGTGCAGTACGCCGGTCCCAGTCTACCCCAGTCCTGTTCTGCAGAAGGCCCTGCAGACCTCCCCTCCTCCCGCAGGCCCCAGACCATGTGACGCAGGAGCCTCTGGGGCCCGGGCTCCAGCGTGAAGCTGAGGGAGGCATAAGCGACGTCTCTCTTCTGGACAGCGAACTCACTGACGGTCGCTCCCCGGGGGAGACAACTGCATCGAATCAAACACTGGAGCAAGCCACACTCATTTGCTGAGCCCCCTAAAACAAGTGCTACTTTATTTTTATCTAATTATGGATTAAACAAAAGTGATTCCCTTCTGCGTCCTCTTCCCTCTAAAAACCGGGACAGTAACAACCCATCCAGAGAACTGTGACTCGGGGCCTGCTGAGGCCTTTAGCCCACACCTCACTGCCGGGTACCTGCCCAGGCTCGGGGCCAGGCTGGCCCTCAGCGAGGAGCTCAGGTTTGCTCTGCAGGGGACTCCATCGAGTCTGCGTTGGTTCAGGACGGGTTCGCTGAGCACTTACTATGTGCCGAGCACCCAGCATGGCTCCGGCCCCTCGGAACTCCTCACTGAGGGGGCCGACGGGGGACAGCAGACAGACTCACAGTGCAGTGAGCAGGCCCGGTGCCGAGGGAGCCCGGGGAGGGGCACGGCCCAGGTTCTTGGAGCTGGCTCTCTGCCATGTTCCTCTGGACCCCACTCCGGGCTCTGAGAGCTTCCCAGTACCCCAGCTCCTCTAGACCCAGGTTCTCCCCGAAAGCCCCAAACAGGAGTCAGGCAGGGCCCTGCCACCCGCCACCTGCCAGGCCAGCACCTGCCTGGCCCTCTGAGGATGACGTGCTCCCTCCGCTTGTCAGCGGGGCCACCCCCTCCACGCTGGGCCCCGGATGGTGAGTGAACACCTGTCTCCACAGACGAGAGGTCCCCTTCCAGCGTGGCTCCCGACCTGAGCTGCACATCGCATCTGCCTTCTCCGCCCCACCGGCCAGGCCCCCTGCCCCTGGCGATGTCACAGCAAGCAGTCTGGACGGGGCTTGGACCTGCCTGTCCTCCAGCAGCGCAGAACGAGGCACCTCCGAGCTGGGTGGGTGGAGCTGGTGACCCACCCGTGTCTGCAGGGGACCCCTCCCTGCCCGCAGAGGCCCGGCGGCTCCTGCCAGGACGCACAGCAGACCCGGCTTCACGATGCTCCACAGACGCTGCGTGTGTCACAGATGGACGCAGCACCCTCCTCCCGCCAAAGGACGTCGACTGCTTTACCGTGGGGTCCGGACGGGACCGCAGTGCCCTCGGGGTGTGCTGCTGGGTCTCCCTCGCTCCCAGAGCCAGAAGCGTGGACGCCCGGAGCCCACAGGAAGGAGACGCAGCTCCGGCCCCGCCAATCCGATGCGTCCTGCTGACCCTGCTTGGTAACCGCGCTGGCCTCCGTCCTGCCCGACCCAGGGCGGGCCACTTGCCGCCACCTGTTGCCACGAGGGGTCTCCAGAGAAACAACCAACACTTGAGCTGCCTGTCTACCTACCTAGGAACCGATTTACTTCAAGGGGTTGGCTCACGGGACTGTGGAGTCCCTCGATCTGCCATCTGTAGGCTGGGGACAATGGTGTAAATTCCCAGTTCAAGGACCTATGTCCCAGCTCTAAAACAGTCCACAGAGAGAAAGAATGCTTTCTTATTCAACCTTTAATTCTACTCGTTCCTCAAAAGATGGAATGAGGCCCACCCATGCTGGGGAGGTCCCCTTGCTGAGGAGGAGCTTTGGTCACCCTGGAGGGGGCGCTGGGCCTGGGGACCTGGACCCTCTGGTTCAGGGATTCCTGGAGACCCCGCCAGTCTTGCTGCGGGTTGAACTAGTTCAAGGGTGCACCTACAGAGATCTGGGGAGTCGCCGTCATAAAACAGTGTCTTCTTCACCAAGCATTTGGAATGTGTTTATTTAATCCACACAACTACCCTGAGAGGTAGGCACTGTCATTATTCCTACTGCACAGATGAAGAAACTTGAACTCAGAGCTCACCTTTTCTGGAGTCACAGAGCCCGGTGGGGGCTGTGACATGAACCGGGCAGCCTCCTCCCCGTGGACCCCCCACCTTCCTTGCTTAGGAGGTGGAGGCGTGGACTGTCCCGACCACGGCAGCCCACGTCCCGTGTCGGCATTTCCCACTTGGCATTTGTAAGACCAAGATTCGCGAAGATGAACACGTCCACGTGAGGCCTCACGCACAGTGCAGGCGGGGCCTCCAGCCCCCACCGCCTTCCCGCGAGAGCATTTGCTCTGCTGCCCTGCTACGTCCCACGCGCCCGGAGTGAGTGGCTTCACTCCTCTGAGCCACACTGTCGCCGTGAAATGGGGACCGTGGCCTCTCCGGGCGGTGTGGCTGGGGGTGGGCAGGGAGGAGAGTCCAGCCAAGCCTGGCCCACACATGCCAATTCCTTCTCCCTCCCCAGCGCCCCTTTCTCTCCTGCCCTCCTGCCCTCGGGCCCCAAGGACCCCAGGGCTAGCCCGCCCTCCGCGCCCCCTCCCTGCTGCCCAGCAGTGAGCCCAGAGCTGGGCGCGCCTCCCTCCCGTCTCGCTGTTTCCTGACCGGTTGCTTCCCTGTCATTTGCAGGGTACACATGTCTTCTGCTTTCTTCCGGCTGCACCCCCAGCACCTCACACAGGGCTGGCAGGCAGTAGGCACCGGACAAGTATTTGTGTAGTGAAATCTGTCAGTTTGGGTAGGAAAAAGGAGAGTGGGGAGCAAAGAAAAAGGGACCGGAGGCCGAGGTACAGCCTCTGTGGGAGGTGAGGAGTCTCCCCCGGCCACCTGTGCTGTGCTGCGGCCATGCTGTGCCCCCCGCTGCGGGTCTCCCTCTGCGCCACAGGTGAGCCCCCCCCACACCCTGGGTCTGAGGGGAGGAAGCTGTCCCCTGAGGTTCCCAGGTTTTGAGGCTGAAGGGGATACAATGTGGAAACAATGTTTTCAACAGTCAGGCCCCTGGTGACAGAGCCTCAGCCGCTGGCGGGCTCCTCTCCTCCCTCCCCGGGCCCAGAACCCAGAACCCACAGCCTGCGGTTCTCCCTCCCCAGGCCCAGACAGAACCCAGAACCCACAGCCTGCGGTTCTCCCTCCCCAGGCCCAGACAGAACCCAGAACCCACAGCCTGCGGTTCTCTCTCCCCAGGCCCAGACAGAACCCAGAACCCACAGCCTGCAGTTCTCCCTCCCCGGGCCCAGGGCCCAGAACCCAGAACCCACAGCCTGTGGTTCTCCCTCCCCTTCCTGGGCCCAGACAGAACCCAGAACCCACAGCCTGCGGTTCTCCCTCCCCTCCCCGGGCCCAGGGCCCCGAACCCAGAACCCACAGCCTGTGGTTCTCCCTCCCCTCCCCAGGCCCAGGGCCCCGAACCCACAGCCTGTGGTTCTCTCTCCCCTCCCCGGGCCCAGGGCCCCGAACCCACAGCCTGCGGTTCTACAGCTCATCAGTCACACGTCCTCATGGATGCATCTAACCCGCAAGTGTCTCTCAGGGGCCCACCAGGGGCCTGGCTTGGCCAAGTTCACATTCTAGTGGCGTAAAGACATTCAGCAAGAAGACAGTGAATGAAATGATCACAGAATGTGACAAGTTCCTGAAGGAAATAATCAGGAACATCTCAGAAAGGTCCTCTGGCCACAGGACCGGCTGGGGCCAGCGCTGTGAGTCCCAGCGAGAGGCCGGTGACTCGGGCCAGGTGGCAGTGGGCATGGAAAGAAGTGGGGAGTCCAAGAAGGTTCGAGAGACCTGTTGGCTGCAGAGCTTACTGTGGGACGGGATGCCGAGAGAATGGGAGGGACAGCCATGACTCCTGGGGCTGGCGGTGCTGAGCGAGGGGAGCCATGTCCTGTGCTGGGGTACCAGGATGGAGCAGAGGGAGGGTGGATCCATGTGTGTGGACGAGTGACAGCCGGCGGACACAGGCAGGAGCTCAGTGGTGGAGGGTGGGACCTGGGAGGCCAGGACACTGAAGCCAGGAGACCAGCTGGGGGGCTGGGTTTTTGTTAGACCCTAACAAAATCAATGCGGTGGGCCACAGGCGGTGATTATTTAACAAATTAAACAGATCAGGATAAAAAAAGTCCGCGTGAGTCACATATCACACGAAAGAGTAACTTCCTATTCCTTCTCTCCAACAGCGATTCTCCAGTTCTTGGCGACAGGTGGCATGTGGAACTCGGGTGGGTGTGAGCAGCTTCCTTCCCTGGCAAGCTCTCCCTGTCCTCTGGTGCGCTCCGCACTGCGCACGCCGGGCACTCGGTGTGCCAGTTCTTCCTGCCCCCTCTCCTGTGGCATCTGCTTGAGGCTGGTCCCGAGGGCCTAGGACCCCCAGGTCCTGGCCCCAGGCCCCTCCTCTCTCTCGACCCCTCTGCACTGCGGGACCTGGGCGGAGCAGAGCAGCCTTGTGTGCTGGGATCCTGGCAAGGGTGTGGAGTCAGGAAGGAAGGAAGCGAACACTGAGGTCCTGGGGCTTGGGGCTGGTTTACAGGAGAAGTCTGATCTGCTCATTCGTTCGTTCGTTTGTTCATTCATTCATTCATTCATTCACTTTCAACACATCGAGCCCATCTGATGTGCCGCGTGCTGGGAATAAAATGACGGCTATGGCTTGTTCTTTGCTCCCAAGTTGCCTGGACCTGGTGGAGGAGACAGAAGCAGGAGGTCCCTTCCCCCAGGGCTTTAGAGAGTGCCGATGCTGGTCCCAGCAAGTCCAGCACCCTGCTGTGGGTGGGCCTGAGCATTAGCGCATCTGAAGGGCTCCCAGGTGATGGTGTGTGCAGCCCCTATTCCCCGCCGGGCAGTACCGTGGGGTGACTACGGGCCTGGACCTGGCTCTATCCCTTCCCACTGGGTGGGCTTGGCCAAGTCACTTACCTGCCCCTACTTGGTTTCCTTAGTTGACAAACTGGCGCACCCGACACCTATCCTAGGGCTGTCGGGATTCAGCCAGCTACGGGCTCGTCGTGAGTGTCGGGAAACACTGTGTGTTGCTGCTGCACACCGACAAAGGTGCACTGCAGCACGTAGGCAGGGCACCTACCCAGCGTGGCACAGCCGAGGCAGCTGGCAAAGGGAAGAGGGAGACGAGGGACTGAGGGAGGCCACTCCTTCAGGCTGAGAAAGTAGCTTGTGAAAAGGCCCAGCGGCAGCGCTGTGGGCAACGGGAGGGCCAGCTGTGGGCTGGGGAAGCTGCCTGTGGTGTGGCTGGAAGTGGCCGAATGGTGACAGCCTCTCTTGCCCCAGCCCTGCAGCTGGTGAGCAATGGCAAGACCTTCCTGAGGGTGGAGGAGGAGCTGAGCTGGCTGGACGCCCTGCGGTACTGCCGGGGGCACCACACGGACCTGGCCGACCTGCAGAGCATGAACAGAGTGAGCAGCGTGAAGACGCTCTACGACCTCACCAGCAGCACCGAGGCGTGGATCGGCCTCTTCTTCAACGTGCGCATCGGCGGCCTGAGCTGGTCCAGCGGCTCCAGCTTCAGCGCCCCGGTGTGGAGCTTGCTGCCCAGCTTCCAGGAGGGCCTCTGTGCCACGCTGTACTCCACCGTGTCCATCCTCCCCAACCTGGGCGCCGCCCCGTGCACGGCTCAGAAGCCCTTCATCTGCTACGAGGGTGTGTTCACAGCCACGCTCTGGGGTTCTGGGCCGGGTCCGCTTTCCTAGGACGAGTGTCTTCGTCCCGTCCCGCCGGCTGCGCTCCTCTCCACGGCCGCGCTGTCTCTCTCTGTCCCTCATTTCCAGGGTCCATCAGAGAAACGAGTGGGAATCAGGGCAGAGAAAGAGCAAAATCTGTCACTTTGTCCCTTCCTTCGGCCGCTGAAAGATTTAGGGGGAGAGAAAAAAGGAAGGGAGGAAGAAGGCAAAGGACAGGATGGGGATCCTTGTGCAGAAAGGAGAGCGGAGTTCAAGGTCACTCGCCTTCTCACAGAGCACGGGGAGGTTCTGTCTCACGGGGCGGGGGTGTGGGGTGCAGCCAGCTCTCTGGGGCATCTGTGCAGCACATGTGCTCAGTGACATGGTGCCAGCCATCCTTGCCCCGGGCTGCCCTCTGCCCAGGGCCTGTTCCTCTGACCTTTGTCCGAGATCACCTGGGGGGTGGCTAAAGGCCAGACAGCACTTTCCTGCTGAAAACTGCCTGTTTCTGCTCTTCTCTCAATCGGCCAAGGCCCAGCCCAACTCTAGGGGCCCAGAGGATCAACCTGATGAGTCCCCAGTTCTCCACCATGCCTGTCACAGGGCCTTGAAAGGTAGCCCACTGTGGCCTGGGTTTGACCTAGGATTCCGAATGCATTGGGAGTGGGGGGCTAGGATGGGAGCCTGTCCGAGGAAGGGAGTGTGAGGTGCTTTCCCACACCCCTCTGCTGGCTAGGACTCCCCCCTCTCTCCCCATCTCTGCCGGCCACCCGCCCGCACACCCCTCTTCCCAGGGGTCTGCCCACCTACAGCTGTTCCCTACACAATGAACTTCTGAACATGCAAATCAGACACTTTGCTTAACTGCATTCACTAGGTCCCCTTGGCACTCAGAACCGCACCCTTTGGTAGCCACCTGGCCCTGCTCCATCTCTGCCCTCCGTTCCCCTCCCCTCAGCCTCACTGGCTGGTTTCTGCGCTCGACACCAGGCGGCCCCCCCCACCTCGGGTCCTGGCCTTTGCCTGGCTGCGGTCCTCCTTCGCCCCTCCACCAGGCGGGCTCCTCGCGTCCTCTCTGAGAAAGGAGACTGCGCTTCTCCTTTCTGCTCTTTCCCGGGGCCACACTAGTATCTGCCCCACAGTAGGAGCTCAGTAGTCATGTTTACTGAATAAAAGTAAGTAGGAACAAAGGAGTCTGTCTAACCTGGAGCTAGGCTCCTCCCAACTTCCGCTGGGCAGTTCCTGGGCCTGCAGAGGGCCCCAGGGAGCCCCGCTCTGACCCCCCGAGCTGGAGGCCTGTTTCTGTTTTCCAGACCCTGACAAGGTGCAGCAGAACCTCGAGGAGCCTGCTCTCAGCCTGACCACCTCTCCAGAGCCAGGTACACGGCCAGGAGCCCCGCCTTCTCCACCAGAACCAGCTGGCAGGGTCACCCATCTGGGTTCCCCCTCCCCCCACCTGGCTGAGGGCTCCCCCGGCTTGGCGGCCCCAGGCTGAAACCCCTGCAGAGAGTCAACGCCTTAACTATGAAACGGACCCAGAGGGGCAGGTGACGTGATCAAGGTCTCCAGCCAGACCGAGGAGGGGCCCAGGCTGCACCCCAGCTCTCTGCCCCCCCTCAGCGGCTTGGGATGGGGCGTGGGTGGCACTTCCTCAGAGCCCAGGCCTGTCCATCTGGTGAGGGGTGTTTCCTCTCTGGGTATCACTGGGAGTAAAAAAAAAACCTGTTTTTCTTCGTGTTTGGTATAGAGAAATTCTACGACAAAGGAAATACATTCCTCTGTCTCCCTGTCTGATGGAGCCGGTTTTCTGCACGTTTAGAGTATGGAGTTGTGGGGTGACATGAGTTTGCCGAGGCGGGCACACTGGCCTGTGCCCCTCGTCTTGCCACGCAAGGTGGCATACGTTTGGACAAGTCATGACCTCCTGGAGCCCTTCTTGTCCCCTCTCTACAGTGGAGTCAGCACATCCACTTCCCGGGGTTCTGTGCAGAGCTTAGATGATGTGCCCACGGGCGCTGCTCGGGGCTGGCGAGTACCAGGTGCTCAGTGGAGGGCAGCTTTAACAATCAGTTTAGATAGGGAAAATGAGGGCGATGTCAGGCAAATCCTGATGGGCTTTGGCGCCCGGTATGTGTTAGAGTTAGGAGGGCCCCCTTTGAATCTGAGGAGGTGACTCCCCATTCTGCACCCAGGATGGGACTCTCAGTTCTACAGACGGGCGTTTCCCTTCTCCGGGCCCGGAACCGATCCCTCAGGTGGTTCCCAAACGTCCACTGCTTAGAATCGCAGCTGTGTGCTCTCTGTTCTTTGCCCCCAGCGGTGGTCCAGATGGGCAGACTGACCTTCAAGCGGTTTGACCAGGGAACGACGTGGCTGTCGGCCCTGCTGTACTGCCGTACCCACCACACGGACCTGGCCGACCTGCAGACGGTGACCGACGAGGCGGGCAAGGAGGCCCTGAAGTCCATCACCAGCGAGACCGAGGCCTGGATTGGCCTCTACTTCAATGCGGCCTCTGGGTCCCTGAGCTGGTCCAGCGACTTGGGTGCCAGTATCCCCACCTGGCTGCAGGTGCCCAAGTTCGGGGCAGGGCTGTGTGCTGGGCTCCGCACCTACGTCCGCTACGCGCCTAGAGTTTCTTCAGTGGCCTGCTATTCCCTGCAACCCTTCATCTGCTTCTACGGTGAGTGGCAGTGCTCCCTGGCCCACGAGGCCACGAGGGAGCGGGAACGGGTGTTCTTGGCAGCAGCAGGCACTGAGCATAGACCTAAGCAGGCGCTCCTAGTCCGAGGGCAACTGAGTTTTGGAGCAGCATTTGTCTTAATTCTGGGAGCTCTCTGACGAGTGGACCAGGCCCCACCCAGCCTCAGGACATTAGCAGTTGGCAACAGAAATTAGTCACTGGGCAATGAAACGGCTCAAAGCATGGGCTTCGGAATCAGACGGACTTTACCCGCGTCTCTGAGCCTCCTTTTCATCTGGAAAACACATTAAACGAAATGGTACCGATGACCCGCCTCGTGGGGGGGCTCTGAAGACTGAATGAGGATGTACATAAAGGACCTCGCCGAGCCCCTGGCGCAGAGTAAGCAGGTATCAGCGATTGTCATGGTTACGGTCACTGAAGGCACAGAGCCGGGGGCCACCTGGTTATCTGATCTTGTGTGTCGGAGGACCCTCAGCAGCAGGCCTCTCTGGTCTGCTTGCTCCTTCCCTCCTTCCTTCCTTTTTGGTAACAGCTTCATTGTGATATAATTCACATACCTTAAAATTCACTCTTTCAAAGTGTCCGACGCAGTGGGTTTTAGCACATTCACAGGATTGTCCAATCAGCATGACCTCATCTTAGGACATTCTCATCAGCACAAAGGAAACTCCTTATTCTGTGCAATAGCGACCACGGCTCCTCCCGTGCAGAGCTGTGGTGGGGCTGAAGCTGTGGTGGGGGTACAACCCCGGGGCCTGGGCCCAGCAGTGCCCGCTGGGGGACCGCTGTGCCCCTCAGTCACCCTCCGTCTTCACTTGCAGACCCCTCTGTCGGACACCGGAAGTCAGCATCACTCCCTCAGCTCCTCGGAGCTCCCTCCTCAAAAGTGACCGTGGGGGTGACGTCCACACCAGGTACACTCCCGCTTTCTGCTCTGTCCGGGTGCTGACCCGTCTCGGCGGGCTCCTGGGCTCTCCAGGGCCTGGGAAGCGGAGAGGGCGTCCTGACAGCCGCACAAGGGGTGGGTCCCATGGGTCCTCCCAGGTGGCAGCTCAGCCTCCAGGGGCCTTTCAGGCGAAGCCAGTGGCTCAGGCTTTCCGGCTCCTGAGCCCGGCTGGGCAGGAGGAGCATCGTGCGCCCCACGCCGAGTGGGCAGCCACACAGCAGGCCGCACGCCCGGGGGCTGCTGGGAGCCGGCCAGGGCCCGGACCACGTGCCCACCCGCCCTGGAAGCTGGGGCTTGGGGATCCCACCCTGGCCCAACCCTACTGAACAGCTCCCCCTTCTGGGAACCCCAGCCCCAGCTTCCATGGCAGGTGGGGAGGTTGAGGCTGGGCGGGTGGGGATGTGCTGGGCCACAGTCCCCACCCCTGGCTGCATGCCAGTCCACTCTGCAGGGCATTCTGCCAAGCCAGAGCCAGCTCACCCTCCCTCCTCGTGGATCATAATTTAGGGTGGGCCATCTAGGGGAGACACTCCACTTGGCTGCAGGAGGCCGAATGTTGCAATGTTGCTCTACTACCTACCGTGTGGCCTCTGGCAAGTTTTCTAACCTCTCAGAACTTCGTTTCCCTCATCTGTAAACTGAAGGACGACGCCATTGCCATGCGGTATGTTTCAGTGGGCATTTGGCAGATAATAAAGGTAGCCAACACCATTTTAATCTCAGCTCACTAGTTAAATGACTAGTGATTCATTCATCACCTGCCTCTGTCCTTACCTATCGGATGGACAGGGCTGGCCTCATTTTCATCTTGTTAATTATAAACGACTGCGAATGACCCCAATCCTGAATTAGTGAGACTGCAGAATCCCTCCAGCAGGGGCTGTTTCATCTGCCTGGAGACGGACAGAGGAGCGGTGTCTCGCTTCCCGAGACCATCAGAAATAGGTGTTTTCCGATGGTCTTGGGTGACCCCTGTGAAAGGGTCGTTCGACCCCCAGGTTGAGAACCGCTACCTTAGGCTGTCAAATAAAAAAATGTCAATAGCCAACACAACACAACGCAACAATTTTGAATGAATCAAAATTATACCTATTTTTTTTTTGTCAGAGGTGCTGCAGAATTTCAGGAATTAGTGTGTGCGCCACGAGGTGGAAAGGGCTGGAAAGTACTGCTGTGGGCTGCCTGCCCACGGGCCACTTGGTAGCCACCAGCTGAGAGGGGGAGGAGGAGAACGAGACCGCGGCCACATCCACCCAACTTCCATCACAGTGTATTGTCATAACGGTTTCATTGGACTATTTAGTATCCATCTCTTAATGTGCTCACTTTACCAATTAAACTTCACCCTGGAATGCACGCACAGGCGCATCTGTAGGGTTTGGTACTATCCACGGTTTCGGGCATCCACAGAGGAAACTGGAGCATCTCCCCCAGGGATTTCTACTTACCACGGTGATTAGACAAGAGGTAGAAGGTTCTTCTGGGCACAGAGATCAGCATGGGCAGACAGGTGGATGTGCAAGTGTGTGCTTTGGGAATGACAAGCCGCCTGAGGTGACCGGGGAGTAAGCCACATTTTGGGGAAGAGGTGGCCGGGGTGGGTGGGAAGAGGGAGACTTCCTGCAGCCAGGGCTGGAGCCATCAGAGGTGTTTAGCAGAACGCTCAGATCTGTGGTTAGTAGAAGCAAGGGGGTTACGATGACAAGGACCAGTGACCGCATTTGGACGCTAAAGGAAAAGGCGATTCAGCACTGTGCACGCAGCCAGTCACAGCAGTGTCGAAAGGAAACATCGACACACTGGCGGGAACGTGTGAACATGTTCATAGCGGTGATAGTCGGGTGATGAGAGGGGAGTGTTCCTGGGTTTTGCAGATTCACTCATTTCATTAAAGGAATTTGCAGGGCTTCGGGTGGGGAAGGAGGTCATTTGGGGAGGAGGCCGACCCAGAGAGGAGACAGGAAGGTCTGTGTGCGGATGGGTAAGTGGACTGAGGGCCAGGTCGGGAGCACCAGAACGAGAAGAGACATGAGGGAATTGATTTTACTTGTTTGTTTGTTTTCCTTTATTGATTTCAGAGAGAGAGAGAGAGAGGAAGTGAGAGGGAGAGAGAGATGGAAACAGCGATGAGAGAGAACATCGACTGGCCGCCTCCCGCATGCCCCCCACTGGGGATCAGGCCCACAACCTGGGCATGTGCCCTGACCAGGAATCGAACTGGCGACCTCTTCGTGCAGGGTCGACGCTCAGCCACTCAGCCACACCGGCCGGACGATTTTACTTGCTACGCATGTGACGTTAACTGAAGAACGATGAACACAAACACGCTCAGCTTTGTTCTTTGTCACAGAAATGCAAATCAAACGGAAGATGCATTTTGTTTTCGATGGATTTTGTTTACTTACCGGTTGGGAAGATTTAAAAGGTGCTAGAGCTGATGAGAAGGGGAAAATCAGCAACCTCAGACACTGGGTGGGGAAGTAACCTGGTGCTGCCCTCCTGGCGAAGATGTGATGGGCACACGCTTCTGTGCAGAGGTTCTACTCGTGGGCATTTATTAAGAAAACAACCGCACAAGGCGCACACACATACACGCATCCTCCACACCAGGGCTGTTGGTTGCAGCATTGATTGTTGCACTGAAAAACTGGAGGCAATCTGATGTCCACTGAAAGTAAGTTGGCTAAATAAGTTCTGGTACATTTGATGAAATACTGCACAGCCTTTAACGAGAATAAGGTAAAGATTTAAATGTGACTCGTGAATCCATGAAAATCCTAGAAGAAAATGTAGGCAATAAAATTTCACATATCACACTCAGACTTTTCACTGATACAATGCCTACGGCAAGAGAAACAAAGGAAAAATTAATGCATGGGACGACATCAAACTAAAAAGCTTCTGCCCAGTAAAAGAAACAAGCATCGAAATGGAAAGGGAACCCACTGTATGGGGGAGCATGATTGCCAACGATACACCAGATAAGGGGTTAATCTCCAAAATATATAGAGTGCTCATACAATTCAACAAAAGGAAGACAAAGAACCCAATTAAAAAATAGGCCGAGGACCTAAATAGACACCTCTCCAAACAGGACATACAGATGGCCAAGAGACATGAAAAAATGCTCAATGTCACTAATCATCAGAGAGATGCAAATTAAAACGACTATGAGGTATCACCTCACACCTGCCAGAATGGCTGCCATCAACAAATCATCAAACGACAAGAGCTGGCGAGGGTGTGGAGAAAAGGGGACTCTAGTGCACTGCTGGTGGGAATGCAGACTGGTGCAGCCACTATGGAAAACAACATGGTGTTACCGCCAAGAATTAAAAATTGAACTGCCATTTGACCCAATGATCCCACTTCTAGGAATATACCCTAAGAAGCCTGAAACACCAATCAGAAAGAATATATGTACCCCTATGTTCATAGCAGCACTTTTTATAATTGATAAGATCTGGAAACAACCCAACTGTCCATCAATAGATGAGTCGATAAAAAAGCTGTGGTACATATACACCATGGAGTACTATGCAGCTGTAAGAAAGAAAGATCTGTTATCCTTGGAGACGACATGGAAGGACCTGAAGAGCATTATGCTAAGCGAAATAAGCCAGAGAAAGTATTTGAGCTCACTTACTTGTGGAATATAATGACTAAAATAAGCTGATGAACAAAATAGACCCAGAGACATGGAAGTAGGGTACAGACTGACAAACCTCAGAAGAGGGGGACGGCGGGGAGGGAAGAAATAAACCACAGAACGTATATGCATGTGTGCGTAACCAATGGACATAGACAATAATGCGGGGGGTGGGGTAGGATCAGGAGGAGGGTGTCAATGGGGGAAAAAGGAGAAACATCTATAACAAAAGCAAATGAATAAAAAAAAGTGTATATTGCAATAAACTTAAAAAAAAAATAAAAAGATAAGGTAGATCTTTACACATTCAAGTTTTAAAAATTCAAGTTAATAGTGGTTGTCCCTGGGTCTGAGGAGGGATACTTTTGCTTAAATATTTTACAATAATACACCATAAAAGCAATATGGTTATTTCCATATTTGAAATAAAAAGGCAACTGCAAGGCACTGGCTGGACTTTGGTGACTGAATAGGAGAGCAAGTGACAGGGAGTAAGAGAGGAGTTGAGGGTACCTGGGGTCTCTGGCTGGTGCCTCAGCTGATGGGCAGCCATACAGGGCAGAGGAGGTTGCGGGGGGAGGCTTGGTTCTGAGATACTTTGACAATATGACTTGATGGAGATGTTGGGGGTCCCTGGTGCCATGGCAGGGCTCCGTGTGGCTGGCAGACAACATTAGGGGACTGGGCCTCTTCGGGTAGGAACTACCAACAGAAGACATTTGCTACTGAGTAGACGTAACACTGCACTAGCCCCACAAATCCTGTAGCGGGGCACTTTGTGAGAGAGGGTGGTTAGCAACTCAAGGGCTGGAACGCCAGCCCGCGGGAGGAAGTCAAGGGCTGCCAGGGGCTAAGCTTCCCACACCAGCGGTTTCTGCAGCCACTGTGTGCACGGCGGTGGCTGCCCAAGCCCACCTCCCAGCTCGGGGCAGACACCCACCTCAGACCGCCTTGCTCCTGGCTGTCTTTGCAGCGACTCCTTCCTTTCCCTCCTGCAGCTGTGCCCAATGAAGGACGTGGCACTGACGCGAGAGACGCCGCTTCTGCCACTCAGGCCCAACACGGGAGCACGTCTACCCAGCCGTCGCAAGGAAAAGCCCCAGCACCTGAATCAGGTACCTGCTTCTGGTCACCGAGTTCCCACTCGTAGCGGGTTGGACCTGGGCAGCCACTCCTTCGCACAGGGGACTCAAGACCTTCGGATGAAAGGCAGCGTGGAATGCTGGGAGGTCTAGGACAGCTGGAGGAGGAGCAAGGGTGAGGACCCTCCAGTTACCCCTGCCTGCCGGGAAAGCCGAGGGTGCACCTCGCTTCGGAACCTCCCATTTCTCACCTGCAAGAGGGGTGCGGTAGCAACCACCTGCCTACCTCCAGGGCTGCTGCCAACACCCAGGGACACCGTGATGGACTTGAGAAACTACAAAGGGCTACACACATATCGGTCGTCCTGTGATGCGCTGGTAGTTCTGTGACGATTGCAGGGGCTGACGGCCAGAGGCCGAGTTGTTTGTAGGCTCAGAGCACTTAGTGTTTCCTGGGCCGTTACCAATGGGAGCCCAGGGAGGGGTGTGTATGTCCAGCATGGTGTACAGCGTCTACTTAATAGTTACGAAGAAGTAGGAGGAAAATACAGAAAGGAAAATAACTGCCTGATGGGGGAGGAGAGCCGGCATTACCCCACGACACAAGACTTTCCTTTCAGCCCCTAGTTGGTTGGCCCTAATTGCAGACGAGCAGTCTCTTGTTCAGTTTCTTCTCCATGTTTGAAATCCTAAATCACGTGTACCACCTGCTAAGAATTTGAAGTTTTCAAACGGCAGTAAGATCACTGTCCCCCAAACAGGTAGCACTTTCTCTTTCAGGGCAACCCTTTGGCATCCTGAAGGCAGATTTTACCATCCCAGCTGCGATGGACCCAGAAGATATGAAAGACCAGTTTCTGAGTGAGGTGAGCCTTCTGCCACTTCTGATTTTGATCAGTTAGATGACTTGACAATACTGTCGAAACCAACGCAGGGAGAGGGACAGCTTTGGAAAGTCAGCTCCTGTGTTCCCACTACCATCACCTGGGCACATGGTGACAGGTTGGTTCATGTGTTGAGAGCTTTTCAGATATTTTTCTTACTCTAGCCAACAACTTTCCTGAGCTCTTAAAAATAAAATGAAGGCAGCACACTCAGAAGGACCTGAATTTAGGTCTTGGCTTTCCGCTTCCTAGTTGTGTGACCTTGGGCAAGTACCTTCATCTTTCTGCGTCTCGGTTTCTTTGTGAATTAGGAACTACAGTACCTAACTCAAATGGTTGGCACTATGATGAAATGGTCCAGTGCCTAGCAAACTGGCACAGAGTACGTGCTCAATAAACATAAACATAAGCCATTATTACCATGATCAACATTATTATTGTTCTAAATATACATTCTTTCCAGGCTCCATTCCCCCACACCTTGTTCTTATGTGGGGTGAAAGACTGTCAAGAGGAAGAATTATTCCTAAATATTATGACAAAAGCCTCAAGCTGATTTCAAATATGGCCTAAGGGCACCTATGTCAGTTATATCACACACTCATATGATGCCAGAGCCAGAGAGTGCCTTGTGTGTCCTCTAGCCAAAATCACAAACAAGGAAACAGATTGGCATTTATCTGGTAGTTTATTGCAATTTACTCACAGACCAAAGAAAGAGCACCCTGGCCATTTAAATCTTACAAACTCAAGTTTCTAGAAAGAACGGTGGGGTGCGTGTGCGCACATGCACGCCTGCCAGGGAACGGGGGAGGGAACAGATTTCAGTGCATTTTGCTATTGAAGGAAGAACAGGTGCAAAAGATGCAATTCAGCATCTGATACATTTTTTTTTTTTTAAAGTAAAAGTCCAAGTAATAACATTGCAGTGCTGAGTATCAGGTCTATAAAACTCAAGGATTTTGGGGGGAGACCAAACCAGAAACCATCTACCTTCTGTTCTAAATGAAAACCAATAATAGGAAGATTGGGGTCCAGATGGGGAATTCTGTCTCCTGGTCACCTTTGTTGGAATGTATCTATCCCACATTAGTGGAGAGAACTTCCATCTCACAGATTCAGAGAAGGAACTGGTGGGACAAGCTTGTGCCCGGGGAAGGTAGAACACACATTATTAGTTCTAGCAGCATTTAACATTCCAAATAGAAGGCAAACTGTAGCCAACTTGTCCCGGTCCCAGGGACAAGGACAGAGAAACATGTCACAGACACTCACGTATTCAGTGCTCCAGAGGGACTAGTGGCTGGTAACCCTGGCTGAGGTTAGAATCCCTGGGGAAGCTCAGGAAAAGCCTGGCCCCTGTCCTGAGATTCTGCTGAGCTGTTCAGTGGTGGAGGTCAAAGGCACTCCTCCTCTTTAAGTTCTGCAGTGATTCTGATGAACGGTCCGGATTGAGAATCACCGATTAGGCCATTTGTTTGAGCTTCCTTTGTCCTCAGACTTTCTCTTTTTTTGGCTGGGGGGGTGGGGGTGGGCAACAAAATTGATTTAGGTGCCTTCTCATTGGTGATGGTGCTGATGACAAAAGGCAGGCAGCTGGAGGGAGACTGAGAACAATAAAGGGTATAGAGGTGGGCAGTTTAGGGCAGAGACAACAAGGCCACACACAGTATGAACAGTTTCTCTCTTTTTGACGTTTCAGATCCAAGAAGTCTTACAGCGAACGTTGGGCCACGAGCAATTCAGATTGAGGTGGATTGGCTTCGAAGTAAACAAAAAATAGCTCACGTCTTCTCTGGGTTTCGAGTGAATTTTCATTTTTTAATTCCAAGTAGCTCAGAATGAGAAATAACTCCAGATGCATGAAGAGGCTCACTGTGGAGCTCAGACCACCACCCAGCACAAAATAAAACGACACAGACAACCCGCATCCCTGTGACTCTATAGAATGAAATAGGTAAACAAGAGAAGGTGGAGGTACTTGGGAACAGTGACTTTGAGAATGACAAGCAAACAAGAACAAAAAAACAAAAATCCTGAAACAAGCCCCATTAATCTCTCTGGGAACTAAGAGAGGACAGTCGTGTTCCGGGAAGCTGAGGGGGGCCATGCTTCCAAGGAGAGTGAACACTTTCTTCACCAGTGACAACCCAGTAAAGGGATTTCAATTCTCCAGAATGAGGAGCTCTCTGGGCTCTTATCACAGCTCCATACCATGTGTTCATACTCGCTATTTGTCCTGAATCTAAATATTTCTTCCCTGTAAGCTGGGAAATTCTAAGGCATTGTTTTTAATGTTTAAAATATACCTTTAGAATAATGTTCCTGCATACATTTCCCCCTGGTCTTTCCCCAAGTGTCCTGACCACCCAGACACATGCAAAGGAAGAGAGGAATATGTCACATACCGTAGTAACGTTAGTCTGAAATGTTTAAAGTTAAAGTTTATTTGTATTCTTTGTAGGATTATCAATAAAAGACCTCAAACGTATCTATATCTGTACATGTACAAGAACCATCAAAAATTATTCACAGAACAAAAATAAATCTTTTTTAGAACAAACCCAGGTAATGAAATGCAGATATGGATCTCACATATGGAACAGTCTAAGTGCTACCAGCACAAAAATATGGCTTTAAAAATAAAATAAAATCTTGGGTTTTGTTTTTCTAAGGTGTATTTTTCTTTCTTGAAATAAAAAATAAATTATTTAGAGCTAGCATTGTAAAATAGTCCTGTGCATTAACACACTTTTATTAAGGCCCTGGAGATGAAAAACAAAAGCAAATTTAGAAGGTGAATTCCTCACAGGTGTGATTCAGGTTAAGGTGCTGCTGTCTGCTTGAGTTAATGGAACTAGGAAATGTCTAAGCACCAGTCAAAAGCTAAGCTTTACTATTTATTTCAACTTTTCTGCAGGAAAATGGTCACTGAATCAATTCATATTGAACCTTTTGGTGAACTGAGACTTAAAAATTTCCCTTGGGAGTTCAGAAATGACACAGATACAGTATTTGTACATAAATATGGGTATCCCCACACAGATGATGAAGGCTCCTAAGACACAGCTTCTGTGTTAATCTCTCTACAACAGATAGATCTGGTTCTAGGTCTTGAACTAAGTAAAACATTTCCTAGGGAAAAAGGAGGGCATTTGAGTAAAAAATAAGAACTAAGTAGGAAAGTAAAATGCATGATGAAATTTGGGTAAAAACCACCATTTTGCTTTCCTTGGGTGGCTTACTGCATTTGCCAAGTCTGGCTGGGTTGGTGATGCCAATACCTGAGGATCAACTGATCAGGAACCACAACTACTTCATTCTGGATCCCACTGATCTTTGTGGGCCAGAATCCAGATTAGTGAGATTTAACTTTCCTTCTATGACGCCCCAAATCAATTTCAGGTTACTTTAACATATATATATATATGTATATAACATATATATATATATATACACACATATAACACATATGGTACAAAAAAGAGAGAACCACTGTCATAAAATGTAACAAGTGAGAGTGTAAAATCTAAACAGCCCAGGAAAGTGCGCATCACTGCTGGGCGATGGACTGGCAGTCAGAGAGAGGGGGCCCCGGGAACTGTGTGCTGTGTGGGTGTGCACGAGCTGTCCACAGACACGGCCTTGCCATATATCTAGGTATTTTAAGAGCAGGCAGAGGCTGTAAATAGTCCTGTTTCCTTGAACCTTTGGGCTACTGAGAAGGCTGCTGCGCACAGTCCTCCCCTTTTGGATCATGTCGTCTTCCTCAGCTCGTTCACTCCTCGGAAGGTGTTTCTCCTCGCTTATGCAAATCTCATCACCTCTGTCCTTCCTAAACTCAACGGCTAAACTCAAGAGCTTCATAACTGGGTCACGAGGACAAGAGAACGCTTCTAGAACAAATAACAGTCAAACACAAAAAGAAATTCTATTTAAAACTTCAACACCCAAGTCTATCTTACTTTGAAAAACTAGTAAAATAGGTCCTTTCAATGGACATATCATAAGAACAAAGTACCCCAAATTCTTGCCCCCAGGTAGGGGTGGGAGGCAACTGCTTATGACTGGGCAAAAAGGAGGTTTCACTGCTAGACTAGAACAGGGAGGGGGAGGGGGAAGAAAGCCCTTTCCGGTCTGCAGAAGGCGGCCTCCAAGGTGTGGCTGCAAGCTCAGCTAAGCTGTGGCATGGGCTCCAGAGCTGCGGAGTCAGGCCCAGTGACAAGTCCAGTCTGGTGGCAAGCCTGGGGCTCAGGGTCACTTGGGACTTGGTAATCCTGCAGAGGGTCCCTTCCCCAAGTTCAGCCCACAGCCAGCCCTCTCAGGAGCTCCCACCTGAAGACTAGAGCTAACCCTAGATGGAAGGAGCAGACACCGGTGCCAGCTCACTTGACGCAATCTTCACACCCTGGGACTTCCACAACAGCCCCGCTTCCAACCTGCTGCACCCGAGGACAGTGTGAGAGCCTGGGTGGGCAGAACTACAGCTCCGTAAACAAAGGCCACAGGAAGACGAAGATGAGAAGGCCGACTCCTTATTCAAGCTAATTCTCAAGGGCACACAGTAGTCATAGACAGAAAATCCTACTCTTTCTGGGCCTGTCAAATAGCATCGTAGGGGAAGGTGGAAGCAGACCAGAGAAGGCTAATTCTGTCCAACTGGATTAGCCTGCTGGAGAAAGCCAAAAGCTATAGCAGCATGGTTACCTCATTTTGCGACCTTTCCCTTACCAACAGATTGCCCTAGACCCCAATGGCACCTTGGCAATAGGGCCAGGCACACAGGAAGTGCTCGAGTGTTTGTTACAGTTGCCTAGTTACAATCTCCCCTGTGTCAGGGCTTGTATGGCAGAGACTCAGGGAATGCTGACCCGATGGAAATGTAACTCTTTTTGCAGCACTGGCCCAGTGATACAAAAGGGAAATATGAAGCTCTTTTCCTGAATCCTGCCAGCACTTCTCCCTGTCAATGGCCCAGTCTGGTTGTCAGGGACACACACATAGCAAGCGTGTCCCCCGACCTCCACATTCCACGCGGCCCTGGTGCCATGCCCTGCAATGTGGTGACGTGCAGGACAAGCCACCTCAGTGCCCATGCTTCTTCACCACGCCCTTGATCCCAGCAGCACACCGGCTGAGGAAGGGCAATTAAGCTGTACCTCCACCAAGAGTCGGCGGTTCTGCCTTCTTCTATACTTAAGGGGAAAAATCTTTTAGGATAAGTGCTAGAGATTGCAGCATTCTCTAAAGACAAATGCAGAAAAATATCTGGATAGAAACAGGCTTAAAGGATAATCTAAAATTTAACATCTGGCAACAACTCAGAACTTCTAGCTTACTTTTAACCTTACTTATTTTTACTCTCTTCTCTTCATTCGATATAACCTGATCACAGGGGGCTGTATAATCTAGCCACACATTTGGGCATTTAATCTTCCAAAGTAGGCAGCTCCAAGGAGCTCCCACATGCCAACAAGATAAATTGCCTCCACCAAAAAACACATTTGATGTTGTGTGTCTCCCCCAGGCCCCCAGTTCAGGTAAATTTATCAGCCCTCTGTAATCCATAACCAGCACCTGACAGCTTCCTAACCTCAAGCAAGACATCGCCCTCATTACATGAGGCCCTTGAAACCGACAATTCTTTCACAGGTTTTCTGCAGCACAGCTGAAGGCTTTGTAAAGAATGAATTAAACCTGGCTGTAGCCGAGTTCCAGCAGACCCATGTTTGCATGACCCCTCCAACACAGGGCACTACTGCAGAATTGGTTGATATTAGTCCCCATTTAAATAAGCGATTTTGACCACAGTGTGCCCTCAGCTTGGAGGGGAGAGAGAAGAAATTGTAAAATGACTACCAAGGGTCAAAATAATATCTGGGTACCAAACATGTGGGCATGAGGTCTGTAGATCAGAAAAGCATTATGAGAAACTCCTGTTTTAGATCTCTGACTGGCAGAAATAGGGGTGTGATGAAGGGAAATACTAAAAGGTCATGAATTGGGGGGCCATGGTGCAGTTGCTGAGACGAAAGGTCCAGCACAAAGACCCCCGAGAGAGGGCAGCACTAACGCTGGGGTGCTGCTCGAAGGGTGCTTGGTGCCGCTGTCTGGGCTTCACTCAAAAGAAGACCCGACAGGTCCATGTTCTCTGCTCCCGTCCGAATATTCTGTTATGTAAAAACACTCACTCCACGCATATGGCTCCCTCAGGTTTTTTCCTCTGTCTCCCCTTTTCCTTTCTAAACATTTCCTTAAAAGTTTATAATTTAAAATAAATATCATTAACTTATTTGAGAAATGTTTCTTCTCAATAGAAACAATGGCTTAGATCTTGCTTAAAGAGATTCAAAACTCTCAATGTATCTCACAGCACAGAAGGCAAGAACATTCCCTATTTGTGTGGTTACATGTACACATGTGTGAATAGATATGTATATATTTTTGTATATATAATGGCTAACATGTAACATTCTATTCTTCTGATAATCAGGGTTGAATTCAAGATGACATCTCACACCTTTGGAAAAAAGGAAATCGATTAGCTTCCACGACTGTTTCTGTCCTGCTCTAAGGCCAAGGATGACAACTGGTGAAACAGTCATTATTGACAAATCTGCCGGCCGACAGACAGCACAGGAGTAACGAGCGGAACTCGCTGCCCCAGACTTTGGGTTTCTTTTCTTACAAGAGTAGGCGTCACTTTTCAGAGAGTGATGCTTCAGATTTAAATTTCCTTTCCAAATTTTACTTAAGGAACAGAGAAAGAAGCAATTTAAAAGTTTAAGATTGAGATAAGATTACCCTGCCTAGAGATAAGCTAGTACAATGAATAAAATCTTCATCTCAAATAAAAATTATAATTTACAAATAGAAAAATTTTTTTGTTTTCTTTTTTAAAATAGGAAATAGAGATTCCTGCTATGGTATGGTTAGCCCTTTTCTGTGTGGAAGAAAGGGAGTCTGTGGTGGATGATTTGTGGACAGCACATTGGAAGAACCTCTCCCGGGAGAGGAAACCCTGTTGGTGATACTGCTGCCACCACGGGGGTGGAGGGCAGTGGGTGTGCGAAGGTAAAGATGGTGTGTAGAGACACAAATATTTATAGTTTTGTAAACTCTAAAGAGGAAAAATAACACCCTTTATTACAACTGGGGTAAAAAACCAGCCCCCTATCTAAAATGAAAACTTCCCATCTGCTTGCGACAGAAGGAATGACATCAGCAGGAGTTCAAGGAAAATCACTCCTAAAGTCCACTTTTGATGCGCGAGCTCTCGCCTGAGTCCTATCCCCAAGCGTGTCCCCAGGCGGAGTAGCTGTCCATCCAGAACCAGTCTTGGTTGATCAGTCGGATAAAATGTTTTGTTTGGACCTCAGTATTTGCATGTCTTCCTAAAGGACAAGGGGGCTGGGTGGGTTTTTTTAACTGGCAGATGAATCCCTGAAAAATTCATTCTGACAATGTCCTATTGCACGCTGTGCGCTTCTACCGGGCGGGCAGGCAGGCAGGCAGGCAGACAGACAGACAGACAGACAGACAATGGGTCTCTACCTACTGAACCGCCGGGCTCATTTCTCACTCACACATAGTTCCTACCTTCCTCCTCTAAAAAATGCAGTGCTTTCAACAAGAGGAAAACAATAATAAAAATAGCAATAATTAAAAAGGTAATCTACATTATTAACTTCCTTTGGGTATATTACAGTAGAATTTTCTGTACATGGCCCAGAACTAAGTTCCCTATGTACACAGAGACATGGGGGAAAGCATCGACCTCGGACGTCTCAGCCTTTGCCCTGAAAGACAAGGTTCCTTCTTCATTTGAGAGTTTCTTGTCACACCGCTGTTCTGAGTAGCAACGTTCTGTAAACCAGGAGGGGCTGGGTGAAGGGCTGGGGACAGGAGAGCGGGGACATTTCCTTCTGTCTCCTCCCACAGTCTGTGCAGTCAGCAAGGCCGTCAGCAGCTGCTGTTTTTGAATTCACCATTCTCCGTGATGGAAAGCTTGGTGGGGTTGGTGGGAGAGACGCCGTTGCGGACCTGCACGCTGTACCGCTCCTTCACCTGGGTCAGCGCGCTCATCAGTCTGGTGTTGGCTGAATCCAGGGACACGATCCGTTTTTCCTGCAACACACCAATCATATTTATTCCGGCTCCATGCAGGACATCACACCGTAATACTCTCTATAGAATGACTGTTCTAGCGCTTTCTATCAAACAGCTACACACATGATGCTTCCCGGACAAATGGAACGTCTCTGCCTCTTTCTGCACATTGAGCCCAACAGGTCTGGGTTTATTTTCTCTTGTCCTTTCAGCACAGCAGGATTTGTAACAATCCCTTGGACACGAGGATACCATGTGAAAACGATACCACGTGCTACTTCAGACTATGCAACACAGGGGTCAAGCTGCCTGACTGTGTTAAGTGCTTTCGGTCAAAATTATAACATGGACATTAGGTGGCAAAGAAAGAAGCACCAGAGGTTTCATTTCACAGAGGAGAAGTGCGAATGATCTGTGGGTTCTTAGTCCCCACAGAGGGCACATCAGTTGCATTTGCAGAGAACTCACGTTGTGCTCAAAATTAAAAACAATACCTGGTGGCAGTTTACAGTCACCAACAAAGTGAGGATGCAACACGCAAGAGGGGCAAAGCAGCCAAAAGCTCAGACCAGGGGAGTTACTTGGATACAGGGAGGGAGGTGTGGCCGAGGGGGTGCCGCAAACATCACACATGAAAACAAACAGAACACAAGCTCCCGGACTCATTCCAGCTCAGAGTTACTCCAGGAGAGCTACCCGACATGGAGACTGCTTTTATTTTGGTTTTGAGTCTCTGAAAATAAAAAAAAGCTTTAGAACCAATATTTTGGAACCAAAGGTTGTTGAATATACATACACACACAAAAAACTTGCGGGGAAAAAGGACCCCAAAAAAAGGGGGGGGGCAAAGCTCAAGAAAAGTAGGCCCATCTAAAATTAAACAAACAAACAAAAAATCACCCCACCAAAATAGTATCAGTCTCACAAAGATGAGGAGAAAACCCTAACCCTAGCTTCAGCAGCGAGGTAAATCATTCAAGTTAATGCTGAGAAGAACCGGCTTTACCTATGCCCATGGTATGAAAAAGAAAACGGCACACGAGGGAACACCTCCCCAGCCAAAAGGAGCTTTCCTACCCTAGGAGTTTCTGATGTATGGGGAAAAGCATGCTAAGGCGAGTCATGGTCAGGTTCAGAAAGGACGTAGAAGGACTGAAGCTTTGACGCTGCTCCTTGCTGTCCACACAGGGCCCATGGGGGACTCCGTGGGGAACTCACTGCAGGGGATACAGAGTAAAGACCACTGCCTGGGGTGGGGGTGGGGATTTAGGTAAAAGCACAGATATAACATCAAATGATGCTTCCCTACTGCGGGGTGGGGCGGGGATCTGTATGGCAGCAGTGTGGCAGTCATAGTTTCAAAAGTATTAAAAAAAACCCAGCTCACACTTATTATCATTAAAACAAACTCTTCCTTTCCCTGATGGAGAACTCAGGTGGTAAGATACCCAAAATCAGAATTATTAACTGAACACTAATCTAGTATAATATGCTTTTGACTTTGGGAAGGCGAGTACCTCGTTGTAAGGCTAGGCAAAAAAAGATCTGTGAGGTTTTGAAAAAATAATAATTAAAAAATTACAGCCAATGGAATTTACTGGGATAATAAGTATAGGTCTTTTCTAAGTCAGTAGGTAAGGAGTGGCCAGTGGTTACCAGAAAATAAGGTGGGGGGAGCCAAAGTTGATATTTTACCCTATGGTTAGGAATGATTGCTACACAGAAAAACATAATTCCTTGAAATAATGAAAAAAGAAAAGATATTTCAGTATTAGGATAATCTAAAAAAAACAAAATTTTCCAGGTTTATAAAAAAAAAAACAAGCATTCATGAAAAATTATTTGATTCTTAAAGAAGGTTAAGAGTGATTGTAATTATTTATTGACTATGAGAGTAACAAAGGAAGCCAAGCATCCCCCCATCCCCTGCCCCAAACAATTGCAAGTTTCTAAGTGGAGAAACTCCCTTTTGTAATTTCCCTCATTGTCAACTTCACAAAATAAACCAAAAAGTAAAAGAAAAGAAAAAACAAAAACAAACAGGGACTTTTGAAATTCACGTTTCGTTGACAACAGACGCTCTGCGATTCTGCCTGGATTGAGAGACAAGCCCAGGCCTGACAGGAGGGTGTCGGGGTGGGAGGCAGGAGCTGGAATGTGTAGGAGGCAGTGCACTGGGCCAGGGCTGGGAACTGCTCCGCTGGAGAGCGACAGGTTTACTTGCCTGTTTGAATAATCTCATCTCCATTTAGGACCTGTAATTTAACACAGTGGAGGCATCACTTGCAACAGTAACTAGGCAGCTGCTTGCTTCTCAGAGGAGGAAGCCCTTCTCTGTTCTCCATCTGAGTCACATGGAGAGAGCCTGGAGGGGGGTGAAAGGTGGCACAGTCCCTGGTCTGATGTTTAAGAAATGCTCCCTTAGTACCATCACCAGGATCCCCATGGCCATATACAAGGTGCAGAAGGTGGACCAGCCCTCACCAGTGGAGTGCTCCTCCTCTGTTCCAGTTAGAAAGCAGCTGGCCCAGGCTGGCCTTGTGGGTGAACTGACTCTAGGAGATGGAGAGGCTGAATTCAGCGACAAGCCTTTCCTACAGGGACACAGGGCTGCTGAGAGAGATGAAAACCAGTTCACTGGGCATCTGGCCATTAGTGTTTTGGGAAATGCTGGGCTCAACTCTAGTGTAAGAAAAGACACTGCACTCATTTCAGAAATATATTTTCTACTACCAGTGGCACCGAGACAAATGTAATCTCAGGGATATAAAAGTATGGGCTGCCTCCCTGGGAAGCTTTCATCCCAGATACCCTCTCATTCTACAAAACGATGCCAGGAGGACTGCTCTGCAGTAAACACTTGAGAGTAGGGTTCCTCCTTACAAAGGAAAGGATCTGATACAAAAAGCCGTCCATTACAAAGGGTGCCAAAGGATGGTCATGGTCTTTTGCTATAATAAGATTTTTAATGTATCAGTAAGACAATAGCTGGAACTGGGAAACCTACCTTTTAAAGAGATTATATATTTAAAAGCTGGCTTTCGTGTTTGATTTGTGCTGTGCATGGTGCAGTGGTTTCCACATGTGGTCCAGTGGATTTCCCCAGTATTCTTTAGGGATCCACAGTGGGCCTGTGGTCGAAAGTTCCCTATACAGTAATGCCTATATTGGAATGGGTAGTGATTATAGTTAGCCAGCTTCGGTGTGACGTGACCGATTATTTGAGAGTGGTCTTGTTGTTGAGTGGTCAGTAGGAGCAGCTGGAAACTGATCTATGGAAGGTGCCTCTGGTTTCACCAAAGTAGTCCATGGAATCAAACCATCTGAAAACCACTGCCTTGAGTGATGGACACAAAATATTATCTAATTGACTTAGATTATGAGTCTGGTGCTTTGCAGGTAATAGTTCTCCCATTCCTGAACAGTGTCACACTCCTGGTTAACTGAGAGATTTTGAGCCCTGACAAATACAATGTCCTCTCTTGCTTTCGTTGCATAGCCAGTCATCTTGCCCTAGATGTCAAAACAGGGGCTGGGGTGGGCTAATGATGAGAAGCTGATGATGAAGCCGCCTTGATGAACCACCGAGAAAAGGGTGATAGTGCATGCAGAGCCATGACTAGGCACACGCAAGCTCCCCCTGCTTAAGGGCAGCTGAAATTATTAAAATGGTCTGTTGTATCTTATGAGAACTACAATCTCTCCCGGTGTGGTTATTACTAGAACTCTCCCCGCTTTCTACTGTCGGACTGCAAATTCCAAAGTGAAAACCTATCACTAGTTTTCCTAAGTCGCCCTCTTTCTTCGGGTTGTTTCTCTTAAGCCTCTGGGATGAGTTGTTATAGTGCATATAGCAAGATTGCCTTGTCTCCAGGGTGCATCTAGGAAGGTTTTTAAAAAATGACCAAGTAAGATAATTACAAGAGAAGTCTCTTCTGAAACTTAGAAGGTCAAAATATCCAGAAACTACAGAGTTCAAGAGTCCAAAATATCTTGGGAGCTAAGCAGACGAGAGAGCATAATAAGTCGCTCAACTTCCAACCCAGCTATGTTCGAAGGAGTACAAGGCCCATGAAGCATTCTTCCAGCGGCTGTGCTTTCTGCCTCACCCCAGTGCCTTCGAGAAACAAACCCTGTCCCAGGAACCTCGGCTGGAGGTGGCAAGTGCCTGCTTGAGAACACTGGGGGCTCTAACAGACGGCCTACTGGCTGATGCACAGGGAAGGGAACAGAACATGAAGCCCTTGCTCTCGATTTTATTTCACAGCTTAGGGATGTGGCATGCACTTAAGGGTGAGAGATGCACACCTGGCTGGGTTGTCTTCAGGGAGGTGACACATTCAATGGGTAGACCAGACATTCTCAAAACTGCACCTGCCTTTTGTGATTTGTTTCACTCTAAGACATAAGACCATATTTTGCATTGATAAAATGAAAAAGAATTAAGAAACATTTTATGCCTGCTGGATTTTGCTCTGATCATTGACATGTCCCTGAGAAGTGCTCTTGGCAGTCATCACACCTCTGCTGTCACAGGTATAAGTTAAGTGAGCAGAGGCCCAGACTGATTTCGTCAATAGAAAGAGGTCCTCTAAGCAAGGCCAGCAAACAAGGGTAACCAGGCAAATTCCAAGCATCAATGCCAAGCCCTGAGCCACAGGAATAATAAGGAAAGGTACCTTCTACAACCTTGTCTGTCCCCTACAGTTCCACTACTGTCTGGGACTAGAGGTTGATGGCACAGTGGACGTGACTGACAAGACCGTGAACATCACAGCCAAGCGATGGTCAGTGGAGGTCAAAAGCCAGACACATGCAGTGTACTTTTCATAGCTACCTGCTTAGAGAATGCCCTACTTTCCATAAGGAAAGAAGTGAAGCCCATCATGCACTAGGTTGAGATTTGTCAAGCAACTGCACTAAGCACGCTAATACTTTGCTGGATTAACAGACCTGTCACCAGTAAAAGAAAGGAGAAGTCAGAGGTCACATAGAATCTCTTTTAATCTTCAAAAGGTAATGCCAATAACTTTTCAATGACCCATTTCCTAGTACATGCCTTGGCATTTGCAAGGGGTGGGAAGTCAGGAAATAGCTGTTATTATAAAAGGTGACTTCTACCAGATTCCAAGCCTGCTTACCTGTGCATCGATTATTTTCTGCTTTGCATCAATAACTGCTTGCATCTCAGCATGATCCTTCTTCAGTTCCTCTTCCACAGCCATTAGCCTAGAATGTGGCAGGAAGGGCAAATCAGCATCTTGCAAGAGAGGGCTAGATATCACAGAGGACAGGAAATGCATCATAGTCCAGTATTTCCACTCCTTCCCAATCAAAGATCTGTAACCATGTGTTCTTTCTTCTCTCCTACCTTGGAAGATATCCAACATTGATTTCTCTACCTGTGACTAAATTGCTCCTATTTTCATCTCCTTTGGGACAGTATTACCATAATCATGTCCTCCTTCAGATCAGCACAACTTATTTCATGTTAAAATATCAAACCAGTCAATAAAAAACCAAACAACCTTCTTTTAATCTTAAGTTACCCTATGACAGTTGTCCTTTCTCTTCCTTGCACAGCTAGGTCCTCAGAGGACTCCATACTTAGTGGGGCTGGTTTCTTTCTCATCCACCATTTACCTCTTATCCCACTGATGTTTAAACCCTATCAAACTGCTCTCAGTAAGACTCCGTTCAGCTGTAACAACACACCTTTTCTGTCTTCGGTTTACTTGACCTGTCCACAGCTTTTGACAACACTGAAGCACAGTGGTTCATGGACTCTGCTTGACTGCCTGGCTTCAAGTTCTGGTTGCACTGCTAAGTAACCTTGGGCAAGTGACTTAATCAACCTATTCCCTGTTTCTTTATTTGTAAAATGAGAATAATAGCACCTACCTCAGACATTAACTTAAATAAATTATTAACAGATTAAGCAAATTATTTGTAAAGGACTCAGAAAAGAGCCTGGCCCACAATGAGTGCTATGTGAGTACTGGGTAAACTGACCCTCCCTTAGTCTCCCTTGACATCCTTGGTGCGCTCTCTCTTGGTTCTCTGGCCTTAATGATGTCCAATGAAATCCCTTCCCTGTTTTTGGACTCATTTGTGAAAAACTAAATTAGTCTTGGACACTGAATACTAAGGTTTTTGAAACCCAGTTCTCCTGTAAGCCCTCTCAAATGCTTCATTTATTTTTTCTAATTGTTACGATGAAAGAAAACAGATTACCTCTGTCTTCAGAGGAAGTGCAAGAAAAGTCTCCCATTTAGAAAATCTTAAGAGACATGGTCAGTCATCACCCTTGTACTGAGTACCATGAACACATGCAGAGTTGCAAGTGGCACTTCGCCATCCCTGTGGGAGTTTTTGGCTCCTCTTCTGACATTTTTGTGCGCCCAGCCAGACCACACCCACCGGCAGGTGACCCTCTAACCTGCTGATGATGCTCTTCATCTGGCTGTCCTTCTCCTCCTGCTGCCTGCGCAGCCGCTCCTCGCTGTCCTCCAGCCGGGCCTTGTATTCCAGCAGCAGCTTCTGCATCTGCTGCTCCTGCACCAGCAGCCGGCGTTCGTACTCCTCTAGCCGCCGGCTGGATACTCGCAGGCGCTCCTTCAGTTTAGTGATTTCCTGTTCATACTAAAGGAGAGAAAAAGGAGTTACACAGGTTGGAGACATTGGTGATCTGCCTTTTTTTTTTTATCCTCACCCGAGGACATTTTTTGATATTTTGTTCAGATAGAGTGGGAAGGAGAGAGAGAGAGAGAGAGAAAAACATCAACGTGAGAGAGACACATCGAGTGGTTGCCAGTCACATGACCCAACTACGGCCGGGGACAAACTGCAACCGAGGTACGTGCCCTTAGTGGGAACAAACCCGGGTCTCTCCAGACTGTAGGCCAACACTCTAACCGCTGAGCAAAACTGGCCAGGGCGGTGATCTGCTTTTTATGAAAGAAAAGCAAGGCAAGGTAGCTGGATGCTGTCTGAGCTGCCATCCCATGTGCTGCTGTTCTTTTTTTCTGTGTGTTTATCCTCACCCAAGGATATTTTTTTCCTTTGGTTGCCTCCTGTATGCATCCCTACCACTCCTGGGGATTGGACCTGCAACCCAGGTATGCGCCCTTGATGAGGAATTGACCCTTTGGGCCAACTCTCTAACCACTGAGCCAAAATCGGCCAGGGCACTGCTGATGTTCTTGAAAATTATCAGCAGGTATCAATGGGAATGGAAATCTTCCCTCCTCCTAAAATTATATTTGTAATGTTAACTTGGCATTTCAAATCTATATATTTATGTTCTCTCTTCACATTAAACTACCAGCTACTGCAAGCCACCTCCAATCTGTGATATCAAATGGGAGCAGGAAAAAAGACGATCAAGAACTAGAAGCTTGACAAATCACTTAAAATGATCTAAAAGCCAGTTGTTTACAAGAGAAAAGGTTCTGTATCACTGCCTGTACTGTAGGATCTCAGACATATGTTGGTTCATCAGACTGCCATTCCTTCCTTCATCAGCCCTGTAGAGGACAAGCAACATCTCTATAATGTTAAGCGCTACTAAATCAATAAACAGAATTTTATGGCAGAGTAGACTATTGCTTCTTTCTCCCCAACTATAAAAGTGCAAAATAACTCAGGTCACAAGCATTAAGCCAAAGGCCTACATGATCTCTAGGACTCATGAATACTACGTCTTAGCCCATTTTCATGATGTGGTTCACCTGCCTAATTTGGTTCTCCTTTCTGGAACACAAAGGTCTTTTTTCTTGATAAAGCTTAAGCTTTATCTATTTCAATTAGTTACATGGTCCTTTCTTGTACTGAAGCTGCTGTGGGTGGGGTCTGAATACACTAGAATGTCAAATTTCTAAGTGGGTGAGAAGCATAGCTTTCTTATAAATGGTCTACATAAATTCATTAGACATTAATACTAAATCTGCATGGTTCTTTGTAAAATGCAATGTTTTTATATAATGTCCCCTTTAATTGACAATCAGACAGTTACCTTCTGCTTATTCAACATGGTCCTAAACAACGATGTTAGTCCACAAGGTTAAAGATGACAATTTTTAGGACGGGTTGAAGAGGCAGACTATAACAATGAGCATGTTTAGGATCATGCTGATAGGAAAGCAGAAGCTAGCTGACTGGTTGTTAGTCAAATAAGATTATGCCATATATGATGGCAAGGTTCTGTTTGATCATTTTTTTCCATGTCAATTTTTCTTTAAAAAAACAAAACAAAACTGAACCAATAGAGTTAAATCGTCTATAAAGTCATAACTTCTTTATCCAGAAAGACAAAAAGAAAAAAAACAAACACAAAATCATCACCAAGATATAGAAAGGAAATCTAGTCCAAGGGAAATTTTCGCCTTGGATAAAGACTACCAAACAATTTGTAGAAACACCAAATAAGTGCCTAAAATTACTAGAAATGAATAGCAGAGTATTCTCCAAATTAAGGCAACCTACATAAAAAAATAAATAAATAAAAGAGCTAATGCCCTCCACCCCAGCTTGATTTTCTGCATATTTCCACATATGGACACTACCAGTTATTATCCATAGATATGTGTATGATGATTAATGTAAGAGGTAGAGCTGAAGCGGGGGAGGGGCCGATCAGGTCCTTGGCTAGACAGCCCTTTGGTGGTCTATCACTGTGGGGCAGTACATCAATAAAGACAGACTCCGTTCTACCTTCTCAGCATGCTTGGCTTCATCTTGATTTTGCTCAGTTTCTTCCACATCCTCTTCATACTGCCCATTGTTCAGAACCCAAGCTGCTGTCCTCTCTACTGGGGACATTGTGGCAGAGTCCACAGGTGACTGCACCTGCATCACAAATACTTATTAGCATCTCTCAAGACAGCTCATTCGCTATCTATGTTTCACAAAGAGACCTATTCTTGGAAGACAGAACTGTGATCCCTGTTTTCTACTATTCAGCAGTAGTTTGAGATAAAGTAGCCACTAAAACTAATAACAACTTTACTGTTTAGAATTTATTACATCAAGGCAGCTAATTCAATAGCTTTCTGCTTTAGGTAGTTAACAAGATATTGCTTGAATGAACTTTCTTTCCCTGTGATTTGTTATGGTAACTATTTATCAAGTCCCTCTAAATGTACTGCAAAGTAATTATACTCCTAAGGATACACTAAAGAGAGATCTTAGCCCCTAAAAACATATTGAAAACAACAATTCCTTAGGGTAATCTCATCTTTAACTGTTAAGTGAGAAGCCGTAAAAATAAGAGTGTTTCATTCTATTGGTGATGGTGGTAGCTACCATATCTTCAGGACTAATGATGTCTGATGAATTATGAGAGATTGTACAATGGGAACCGGGCATTCAGGTCTATTCCTATTTTATTGGTTGAATCTGACTGTCAACCACTTCCTAATATATCCTAGCATTTTGCATGACATATGGCAGGTGATAATTAACTGTTGAAAAAAATAAATCAGACCAGTATTAACTATGCTTTATATTAATGATAAAACCTTTATATAATTACAAAGAAATGGAAAAGTAATACTGAACAAATCAAAATTATTTTTTGTTGTAATATGTTCTTCATATGAAAAAAACTATATACTGTTTTTTACATTTTTTTCTATTGGTCTATGTGTGCTAGTCTTATTCCCAATCAGACTGTCAATCTCTGAGGCACGGCACCATATCACATAGTTTTGTGGGGTTTTCTGGAATGGTAGTAACTATATAATTGTACAAAAGATGCCTGATGAAATATTATTTATTTATTAATACTCTAGATAGAATTCATTACTAAAGTATAAGTTATTACTAAAAAAAAGATACTGTTTTTCCTCTAATCCTCCTTTTAATAATAAACTATAGCACTTCATATAGCAATAAAGTGCATCAAAGGCTTTTCCCCAATAATTGTTCCATCTCCTTTGTAACCTGGATAGATCACGGAATTTATTACCTCCAGTTTATAGTCAAAGGCACTGAGAAGAGAGGCTGGTAATTGGTTTATCCCACTTTGCTTCACTGTAGCCTCCGGAAGAGCTTTTACAGCCACAGACTTTCAACAGCGGATCATTACAGAAAATGAAGAATGAAAAAAGACGAAAAGTGAAGGAGTAGGAATTCCTATTAGGAACATCTCCCTCTTGGGATAAAGCTGTATAGCGTTTCTCTGGGAACAATCATAATGCTTTAGGGCAAAAGGGCCTGAGACAGCAGTTTCGCTGACCGTGGATTAGTCAGACTGGCTATGTTGAGGACAATTGAGAACAGGCCAGCTCCCTGTTCCTTTCCAGTATTTACTAGATATAAATAAGATTATTGGTTTCAGCTTCTCTACGGTCTGAAATAGCGAGGTTCCCATCAATGAATAAACACTTCTGCTAGCAACACCAAAGAAAGGGCAGACTAAATTACTAAGTAAACTCTGAGAGTGCTTGAAGAGTTTGGTTGGGGGGAGGGTCAACAAATCCAAATATGAAAACTACAGAATCATTCCGAAAGGCTGGTCAAATACCAATTGTAATAGCCTCTTCAAATATGAATTTCTAAGTTTAGGTAATATGCTACATCTGAACAACTCATACATTGTAGATAAAGTCTACTATATGTACAGAGTGCATGACACATGAAAAACAAAATGAAGAGGAAAATGAGAAAAAAATAAATGCAAACAGAGGTTGAAAATGGACAAAAATTAGTTTCCTGAAAAAAAATTCCTTCTATAGATTGTTTCACTAGAATTTTATTTCCTTCCTACTCAGTAGCTGGAGGACCCTGAAACTAGTTATAGTGCCAACAATGGCCGCTCCTTTGTGCTCAGATACAAATGGAATTTGTATGGGACAAAGCCACTGATAATTGCAGACGCCTACAGAACAATCCCCACAAAGAAATCCTCTAGTTTTAGGGAAAGAAGAATTCTCCAACACAATTTGCAATTAAAATATGTAAAGGAATTTGCCTGAAAAATGCGCTGATTATATAAAATCTGAGAGGCTTCATGGGAGTAAGATGAGAAAAGCAAGCAAGAAACAGAAAGATAAGGAATTTAAAAAAATAACATAAGTTCAAAAGAATGAACCATCTGTGTAGAGAAAGCTAGTGTAGAAAAACCAGAAACTTGAGCAATCAAAATAAGTGATTTGTGGTTTAACTGACATGAGGATGGCACTACCAGCAAAGCATAAGCAAAGGTGACTATTTAAAGCTGTGCCAGGACATCTCAATGTGGTTGCAACCCATTTCATGCCAATGTAGTATGGACATTCTCCAATGCATTAATAGCTGTGACAAAATTTTAAACTGGTTGTTTGGAGACTGTATGCGTTTCCTACTTCCCATCTATCATTCACAGAAACATGTACTGAGTGCTTAAGTGACAGGTGTTATATTTTCCTATATCACAAATATTATAAATGACAATTGGTTCCAGGTGATCACACAAAAGGCCATTTACTTTATAATATTTATAAACAATCAGTCCGAGTCATGGGCCTTGGGAATTGATGACAATATGACCACAGGAAGAATGAGTAAGCATTCTTCTCTTCTGTCTGGGGTTGGACAGACATTCACTGTCAACTTCAAAAGTAGAGGGCCTTTCCCTGTTCTGCTCCTCTGCCAGTCTAATACTCTCTACTCCCTGTGCCGTCCTCAGGGCCCTCATGCTGCACTAAGCCCTCTTTGCCTCCACACAGTATTCCATCCTCTAAAATTACTTATCTTTCTTCTCTGGACTCAGTAAACACTTTCGTTTTTGTTTTTAATCCTCACCCGAGGATATTTTTCCATTGATTTTTAGATAAGAGTGGGAAGGGGTACGGAGAAGAGAGAGAATCATTGATGTGAGAAAGACACACTGATTGGTTGCCTCTCACACGACCCTGACTGGGGCCAAGATCAAATCTGCAACTGAGGTAGGTGCCCTTGACTGGGAATTGAACCTGAGACACAGCAGTCCATGGGGCAATGTGCTAACCACTGAGCAACTGGCCAGGGCAATAAACATTTTAGTTCTTTGAAAGAAGTCAATATCAATTAGAAGCTAGCATAGACTTCCGGTCAAGATGGCAGGTAGGTAAATGCGGTGTCGCGTCCTCCCACAACCACATCCAAGTTACAACTAAACTACAGAACAACCATCATTCAAAACCACCTGAAATCAAGCTGAATGGAAGTCCTACAACTACGGAATTAAAGCAGCAGCCACATCCAGACTGGTAGGAGGGGCGGAGGGGCGGAGGGGACGGGCTGGTCCCACACCCACGTGTGGCGGATAAAAATCAGGAGGACACCTTGGCTGGGAAGGTCCTCCCTGAGGACTGAGGGGTCCCTGTCCCACACCAGGTGCCCCGCTCAGGGTTCCAGTGCCAGGACAAGAATCCCCATAACTTCTGGCTGGAAAAACCAGCAGGAACTGAGGCTCAGGGAGGCTGAGGTGGCTGGAGCCCCAGGCAGCTCCTTAAAGGGCCCGCGCATGGACTTATCGGACTCTCTCCCTCTAAGCTTGGAGGGCAGGCAGCTCGAGGGGCACCAGAGACATACAAGGAAGAATGGAGCTGTTTGGCACTGGAGCGAGAGCTGGAGAGGGGGCTTTCTCCAGGACAGACGTGCTGTCAGAGGCCTTTGTTCCTTTGGTGAGCCCTTCCCGGGGGCGGCAGACAGCCACCATATCTGGGACTCCAGCAACCTGGCTCACACTGGTAGCCCCGCCCTGGTAACTCCCTGAGGCCCCGCCCCACCCAACTTTCAGGCCCACCCAAGCTGTTGCCACTTGCTTAACCATAGGATTGGCCTGTCTTGGATCCTGCCTCAGGTTTTTCCTAAATTCTTTCAAACAAGCAGCATTTGGTCTCAGCTAGCCCCATACTGTAATACACAGGAACAAACACAGGGAGGCAGCCAAAATGAGGGGACAAAGAAAAAGGTCCCAAATGAAAGAACAGAACAAAACGCCAAGAAAAGAACTAAGTGAAATGGAGATAAGCAACCTAACAGATGCTGAGTTCAAAATACTGTTTATAAGGATGCTCAATGAACTTAGTGAGAACCTCAGTGAACTTAGTAAGGGCCTCAAGAGCATAAAAAAGGACCAGTCAGAAATGATCGATGCACAAAGGAGGCTTTAACTGAAATAAAGAATAATTTACTCAGATTCAATAGTAGAGTACGTAAATCCAAGAAGCAAACCATTCATTTGGAATATAAGGAAGCAAAAAACGCCCAATCAGAACAGCAAAAAGAAAAAAGAATCCAAAAAAATGAGGATAGTGCAAGGAGCCTCTGGGACAACTTCAAGCGTGCCAACATTCGCATCTTGGGGGTGCCAGAAGGAGAAGAGAGAGAACAAGAAATTGAAAACCTGTTTGAAATAATAATGGCAGAAAACTTTCCTAACTTGGTGAAGGAAAGAGACACACAAGTCCAGGAAGCACAGAGAGTCCCAAACAAGATGAACCCCAAGAGGCCCACACCAAAACACATCATCATCAAAATGCAAAAGGTTCAAGACAAAGAGAGAATCTTAAAAGCAGCAAGAGAAAGGCAGCTAGTTACCTACAAGGGAGTTCCCATAAGGCTGTCAGCTGATTTCTCAAAAGAAACTTTGCCAGAAGAGAGTGGCAAGAAATATACAGAGTGATGAAAAGCAAGAACCTACAACCAAGATTACTCTATCCTGCACAAAGCTGTCATTTAGAATCGATGGCCATATAAAAAGTTTCCCAGACAAGAAAAAGTTAAAGGAGTTCATTCACCACCAAACCGTTATTATATGAAATGATGAAGGGTTTTTTTGAAGAAAAAGATAAAATATATGAACAAACAAAATGGCAATGAATACATATCTATCGACAATTGAATTTACAAACAAAATGAACAGGAAGAACAGAAACATTCTCATAGATACAGAGAACATTTTGTTGGCTGCCAGATGGGAGGGGGGTTGGGGGAATGGGTGAAAAAGGTGAAGGGATTAAGAAGTACAAATTCATTGCTAGACTGATAAACCTCGAAGGGAAAGGGGTTGGGGGGGGGGGGGGAAATAAACCAAAGAACTTATATGCATAACCAATGGACACAGACAATAGTGTGGGAAAAGGTGGGAGGGGGGCGGGAGTGGGGAGGAGGGGGTCAATGGGGGAAAAATGTGGAACATCTGTAATACATTCTACATTCAACAATAAAGATTTAAAAAAAAAAAAAAAAAAGAAGCTAGCATAAAAGCAATGTGTAGAGCCCAGCCGGACTGGCTCAGTGGCTGGGCAGTGACCCATGCACCAGGAGATCTCCAGTTGATCCTTGGTCAGGGCACATGCCCAATGGGGGGCATGTAGGAGGTGGCCAATCGATGTTCTCTCTCATTGATATTTCTCTCTCTCTGAAATCATTAAAGAAAAAAATTAAAAAACAAAAACAGCCCTGGCCAGTTTGGCTCAGCGGTTAAAGCGTCGGCCTGCGGTCCGGAGAGACCCGGGTTCGGTTCCCACTAAGGGCACGTACTTCGGTTGCAGTTTGTTCCCGGCCCTAGTTGGTCGTGCGGGTGGCAGCCACTCGATGTGTCCCTTCACGTCGATGTTTCTCTCTCTCTCTCCCTTCCTCTCTCTCCCTCCCACTCTATCTGTACAAAAAAATGGAAAAATATCCTCGGGTGAGGATAAAAAAAAACAAAAAAACAAAAAAAAGCAATGTGTAGAAACTAATTCATAATAAGGTGTGAATGACTGACAATCTCCTAATATGCATATATAGATGTATATATGTGAGATATATATAGGTATATAGGCAGTTAATAAGCATTTTCAATGAAAAAGGAAAACAATATATTATATTGCATATTATCTTCCTTTTCTTTAAATGAAAATGATTACTAAGTCAAATGAATTGGTAAAATTTGGGGAAACACAACAATACAAAGATGAAAAATTTAAGACTGAAGAAAAGCTTTGTTTCTCAGAAAATAATGACTGACTAGGAGGTCTCGTCCAAGAAGTCAGCTACCAGAACCAGCTGAAGTCAGACATGTTTCTCATCCCGTCCTCTTTTCTGTATCTAAGGATTCTGCATATGTTCTAATGTTTTAAACAGTAAGTAAACAATAGTTATCAATGTAGGAGCAAGGGCTCTGATCACAGTGCGTGAAGGCAAAAGCAGCCAAATTAGTAAATGTCTACTATAAAAATACAAATATATTAAAGAAATACATTGAGATTTTATGGTAGTCTCCTCTGACAAGTTATTTTGTTGACAAAAGGCCTTTTTAAATTTTTAAAAAATATGCTTTTATTGCCCTGGCCAGTTTGGCTCAGCAGTTAGAGTGTCGGACCGCGGACCAACAAGTCTCAGGTTTGATTTCAATCAAAGGCACGCACCTTTGTTGTGGTTCATCCTGAGCCCTGGTCAGGTTGTGTGGGAGGCAACCAGTCAACGTGTCTCTCTCATGTCGATGTTTCTCTCTCTCCCTCACCCCCCAGCCCCCCATCTAATGATAAACAGAAAAATATCCTCAGGTGAGGAATAAAATATATATATATTGGCTGCCTCCTGCACACCCCCTACCGGGGAATGAGCCTGCAACCTGGGCATGTGCCCTGACCCAGAATTGAACGAGGATCTCTCAGTCCATGGGACGATGCTCAATCCACTGAGCCACACTGGCTGGGTGACAAAGGCCTTTTTAAAATCACGAAGCTCCCTAGGTTTCAAAAAAAGTCTACAAATACAAAACTTTTCAGGAGAAAAGTCTTTTTCGGATAAAGAAATTCTCTCTCTCATACACACATACATACACTTCCTAAGGTTACTAGTTTGTTTCAAAGAACAAAATATATATTGGTGCCTCTTGGGAAACTTTTTTATCAAGAAGAGAAGATTTTGTCAATCTTATATTAAGATTAGGTGTGACATTAACTGGGCTTATCCATGTAAAAAGAAACTAATAAGGAAGCTGTAAATGTTGAGAATACTTGTCAACCACCTGTGTGGTTGCCTCTATAGGTGTTCAGTTGTTTATTTTTCTAGCCATTTCCAGGAAAAGACACACAGGACTTGATATTTCCAGAGGGAGTTGGGGGAAGGAGTAGAAAGTAGTTATATTAAACTCTTGGCTCAGAATGCAAAATTTTATTCTGGAAGCTTAAGAAAAAATATTTAAGGAGGATTAATGTCCAGATTCCCAAAACACTTTCTAGTTGATTTGGCCTACAGATTTCATAGTTTAAGTGTCTAATTATTCATTCAACTTGATAGATCTGTTCTCGGTGCTGAGTGAAAGAAAGGAAAGGCCCCTGTGTGGTTGTTAGTGTCCTCAGGGTGATGGGTCAAGCTACATTCTGCTGCCTCACCTCACTGGGAGCCTCCCAAACCTTTCATTTCTTCTTCCCCTTTAAAGGTGGCAGAACGATTTTTAAGTGGAGACCTTGACAGCAATGGGGTTTCCCAGTGATTTCTACACAAAGACCCAAGAAAACAGTTGGACCAGGTAGAAGCCAGGCCGCCCAGCACTCGGCCCTACCTGCTGCGTCTGCTGTCTCTGGATCGCTCTCACCTTGGGAACAGGGCTCTCTCTGGAGGAAGAGGACTGCTGCCGGGACCGGCTACCATTCTGCACGGGCTCGGCAACCAGGGCTGCCGAGGCCACGGACATGCTCCCCGTGCTCCGTAAGGAAGCACTGTGTGGCAGGGACAGCGGGGCTTTGGCTCGGGCACCCAACCCAGCCTGGTCCATTTTTCGAATCTGGGCCTGCCCAGTACTGTTTTGCCGGGGCAGAGCAAGAGGTATGTGTCTGTCTGGCACAGTGTGCCGCCTGGAGAAGTCCTCACTCTGAGTGCTACGTTTGCTGAAGTCTTCCATGCTGCTGTTGCTGGGTCCACTGAGTTTGAAGTCTTCACTGTTGCTTTGGCTTCTGGAACTGGCAGTGCTTAGGTTCTCCAAACTGGAATCCACAGAGGCCTTTGGCATTGCTGGAATTGGGTTACTGAGGTGATAGACGGGGTTCTGGAATGACAAGGGCTGGAGGCTGCCTGGCTGGTTCAAGGCTGGGTGCAGGGGTCTTCTCACTTGGGGTGCACTCTGGGGCGTGCTCTGGGTTTCCCGCAGCTGCTTGATGCTGGCCACCTGGGTCATGGAAAGCTGGCTTCCGGTCAGGCGCAGAGGCACATCGAGCATGATGGATGCGTGCTCCACTGGAGCAGCGTGCGTGTCCTGGAGGTCCATGAGGGAGATGCTCCGACCGTTAGGAAGGCTGCCTTCCTTTTCATCCTTCTCAGAGTAAGTCATGCTCTGGGAAGAGGCTTGCTGAACCAGCAATAATGTTTTCCCCCTGAAATAGCTATCTGTGTTGTCCTGGCTTGGGGACTTTAGTTTATGCAAATCACTGTGGAAAAGAAAAGGACCCTTAATTACTGTTGAGACAAATTGAACATAAGAAAGACTCCTCAACTCAGACATATGAACTGAAGGCTCACAGGCCCAATGTGGACACTTACATCTAAACTCAGATTTCAACATTACAATTCTTAGAATAAAGTCCAACCTTTAGGTTTTCTCCAAAGGTAGAGAATAATACTGTGTATACCACTCTATCACTGTGCTTTTTACTAGAATTCCAATCACTTTCTAGTTAGGTTTTAAACCCTCCCAAGGTATTCCAATTCATACTTAATTGATTCAAGAGGAGAAACTCCAAGTGCACAACCCACGTGCCCATGTCAAAGGCACAAATCTTGCCAATGCAGAAAACAAAATCTAAACATCAATAATATGTCTACTGTCCAGCTGACACAGCCAGTTATAAAATGGTTTTAACTGAGGTTCTCCAGATTTCTGAGTGCTACAATATATAAATATATCAATTTCATAGAGCCCTTAGTTTTTAATTAGGCAGGGCACAGTTGTTTTTTAATACATTTGTTGAATACAACTCTACAGTATCATTCTAGAAAATAAGTATCCTAGATAATTTTTTTTACACGAATGAGATTTTATTTATTTATTTATTTATTTATTTATTTATTTATTTATTTATTTATTTATTTTTATCCTCACCCGAGGATACTTTTTCATTCTTTGTTCAGATAGAGCAGGAGGGAGAGAGAGAGAGAGAAACATCGATGTGAAAGGGACACATCGAGTGGCTGCCACCCGCACGACCAACCAGGGCCGGGGACAAACTGCAACCGAGGTACATGCCCTTAGCGGGAACCGAACCCGGGTCTCTCCGGACCGCAGGCCGACGCTTTAACCGCTGAGCCAAACCGGCCAGGGCGAGATTTTATATTTTTAATCTTTACTGTTGAAAATATTACAGATGTCCCGTCTTCCTAGATCTTGTGTATTATTATGACAAACAATTGAATTTATCTCAGGTCAGATGATTCTTTCCAATTGTTCCAGACTTAAAAGTTTATAAAATTAACAGATAAGTTAAATAGATTTTTGCCAAATCTCTAAACATCATATTTCTGGAACAGTACTTCAAATTCTCTTTCATACCTGTCAGTGGGGTCTTCAAATATTTTCTGCAGCCCAGACGAGAGGCTTCCACTGACATTGGGACTGGAGTTATGCTCAGTGAAGCGTCTCAGTTGTTGTTGGATTGGCGTGGGATTAGTCAGAGACTTGGTGATATCAGCAAGAACTCGAGGGAGAGGTCCCAGTTTTGCCACCGTTGCCTGTAGGAAGGAATTTTCACCCTAATTGGATAATAAGCATTGCGACATCCACCACAGATTGTTTTTGGGGCCATGATGCCCATTGATGAAGGGGTGTAGGTTGGAGGGAAGGGTAGGTGTTTGCATGTGGGAGTGGCAGGTTCATAATGCAGTGTTATGGAGCAGCAGAACCATGGCGTCGAGATGGATGGAGGAGGCGAAACAAGGTGCAGCACACATTGAGGAAAGAAAGGAAATAGAAATTAGGATTATGCAAATAAAAATTAAAAGACATGCTCAAAACAACCAAAATATTGCCATTCCAACTAAAATAGGCATGCAAAGCAAACAAAATCTTTGGAAGGCTAGTAAATCAAGGTGGGGGAGGGCAGGGGAAGAACCAAACACCTTCTAACCAAAAAGGACTTCAAGACCAGAAGGCTAGTGTGATGAAACTTCCAAAGAAAAGGGAGTATGTGAGGAAAGAAATGCATGCCAACATACAAGAAGGTGTTGCATGCAGGGGTCCAAAACACTCCAGGACACATAGTTGACAATGCTGTTAACTATCCCATTTAATCTTGGGAACCTGGACCTATGATTGCCAACCAGGTTGGCAAAAGTATGACAATTGTTTTTAAAACAGAAAAATCAGGTAAACGCTCTCTATGAAATATGTCTAAATGTACTTCTGGCTCCCAGGACCAAACAGATCAAAAAGGAGTAAGTGTGGTTACACAGCAAAGCCTGTTAAAAAGACCTTAACCCTAAATAAATCAGACTAATTTCACAAGATAACTGCATCTGCATCTCACTGATATAGTTATTCAACAAAGAATAACTTTTTGGTACTTGCTTTATCCATCTCAATCATTTTTTTTCTTTGGAGAATTCTTATTCTCATGGGGTCTTGTGGGACCTCTCAATTGTTAGGCAGTTTTATGTGGCTGCCTCTGGGTCTTTGTTTTTTCAACAACCAAGATTCTTAAACCCTGCTCAAATGGGTAGAATGTCTGCTCAAATGTCACCTGGAGAATGCCTTTATGGGCTCGACCTTCCTGAGTCAAGATTCCTATTCAAGGGATTTACCCTCAGCACAGCTGCAGCTTAAAGTCCAGCTGGCATGTCTACAAGTGAAGAACGGGTCCTCGAGAATAAGGAAGGGTTGGTTATTTCACAGTGTTTTAGGAGCAGTGAATACCCTACCATTTACATTTCCCTGGGAAAGTGGTCTTTATTAATAGGTTTTACTCCCCCCTCCAATATTATTGGTGCAACACTTTAAAGGGTAATAGGAAAATGAAGAAAAACAAACAAATTCTCATCACAGAAAAATAACTTTGTCTTTTGAAGTTATTCTAACATACCACCACACATATTTATAAAGTACCTGTAGCAAACAAAAGTATCAATAAATAATTATTGTGATAAACCTAGCCAAAGTCTATTAAGACGATTTTTCCCCATTACAACAACTATTCCTCTTTGCAAAATTCCAGAAGGAAGAAATTATTGGTATGGTACATATCTAGTTAATAATATGAAATTCTTATAAAAATGTAATAATACAATTCTTAGCTTATAATAAAATTCTTAGGTTATAGTCAGAAAATAAATGATTAAAAATTATAATTGTTTTCTGTATTCTTAATTTACATCTGTAGAGAGAGAAACTACCTACATAACTCTGTAGTACTAATAGTTATATTAAACCCTCTGACTTGTATAACAACAACATAAAATCTCAAGGGTAAAGCTAATTAAACATGATAGTCTCAGTATATTTTGTCCACACTTTGTTAGAAGTTGCTGTATGAGGCTTCATTTCATCCTACTATACATGAATAAGGCTTCATATACCAATATTTGATATTAGTTTCTAGGCAAGTTTTTAGCCATGTTAGATATTCTGTATTTATTTATTGAAATATATACTCCAACAATGCAGATAATTACTTGAAAAAATATGTAAGTAATTTCATGGCTTTCTAGAATTTCCTGGTTTGTAGGGTTCATATTTCACTCAGAAATGATAACCATTTACTCTGAGACTTCTAGGACAAAAGGTTGCTTTCAACTAACAGAAAGGTGAGCCCTACCACCCTGTAGATGCTCTCCAGAATTCAGGCACACTCAGGTTCTCTATCTCCCACTTCCTGTTACTATTCCAGCCTACTTTACCTTGTCAAGCTGAGAAACTACTTCCCACAGCAAGGAATGCAAGACTGAGAGCTCCCGGCCCAGGTCAATGTAACCATCGAAGCCTGGGGTGTTTGAGATGGTGTCTGGGTTAGAGATCTCCAGAAGAAAGCGCTTCATTCCACCCCACTCATGTTCTAAAAAATCATTCATGAATGCCATGTATTCTTCTTTGTTACCAAATCTAAAGCAGAGGGAGAGAAAATGAGAAAAAAACATATTCAGCAAGAGAGAGGTGATCATTTCTGAGTTGACTGTATAAAGAACTATAAAATTTTTATTTTGGGGAGGTGACTAATTTGTTTATTATATGTAAGTGATAAATGCTAAAACATACTTTCTTAATAGTAATAATATTACTACTTAAAAACTTTGAATGGCTTTCTATTTTCTATTGTGTAAAGCTAAAATTAATTTTTCTTGTATTTAAAGCTCTCTGTACTATAACCTTCATTTACCTGCCAAATGTTCATCAGTATAAACTTTTAACATCACTCACTTCTTCAGTTTCCAAAATATATTATACTCTTTTCTTCTCCAAGTCTTTGCTCATGCTCTTCATTTCTGCTAGAGAAGAACTTCCTCTCTCCTTTGCCTATGTAGATTCTAGCTATCTTCAGGGCCTAGCTTAAGTCCATAAGAATTGTTCCAAAATAAATAATTTTTACCAAAACTAAGTCAAATATGGTAAGGTAAGGTAAATATGTATATTTCTGCATTGGCTTATATATAGGGTACACAAAGTTAAAGTAGTGCACTTTTAAAAAGCCACTATTTAAACTAGAAAACAATCTGTCTCAGTGAAGTTCTAATTTTTCCCCTCAGAATGTCGCTAATAGAATCTTGTAAGCGTCACTACTGAGTGAGTCCGTTGTGATCAATGTTGTCAATGTGAAGTCCCTCTCAGTGATTTCTTAAAATTATTTTCTATAATTATAAAAATTACACAAACTGAGAAAAACTGGAAAAGAACAAAAAGTAAAAAGAAAAAAGTGTGAGTGTACCCACTCTATCACCCAAATTTACCTGCTGTTTACATTTGCATGAATTTTCTCCAATTGCTTTCCAATGTCCTTTAAAAAAGTTTTAAATTTACCCAAAATTGAAAGAATATGACTTCATCTACATTAACCAAATGATAACATTTTGCCAAGTTTGCTTTCATTCTCTCTCTATATACATACATACATTTTTTTTGGCCGAACCATTTTAAACTAAGTTGCAGACATAACCTCTAAATATACTAGCACCCTTTTCTCCAGAATAAGGAATATCTCTTACAATGTCATTATTACACTAAAATTAAATTTCAACAATTGTCCCCAAATAGTCTTTAATAGACTTTTTCCCCCCCAACTTAGGTCCAAATAAGATTCGAGTATTGCATCCAGTCTCTTTTAATCTAAAACAGTCCCTTCTCCATCTTTTCCATTTTTTATGACATTGACTTGTCATGTTTGATGGGGCCAGGCCAACTGTCTTAGACAATGTAACCACAGAATTGGTCTGATTGTTATTCCCAACTTGTTTATACTAAAGTTTTTGTGTTTTTATATTGCTGGAATAATAACATATGCACCATTCAACATCCTGTTTATTTTTTTCCTCAAGTTTTTAATAGCTCTTTTCATTTACTATGATTATATCTTCATCATTTCCCATAGTACTGGCTATTCTTTGTAAGCAGTTTATAGTGGCTGCAAGTGTTCTTCTGAATGCATGATGTGCCCCAGGTTACTTAAACATTCCTTTATAAAAGTAATACTTAAGTTGTTTCCATTTTTCAGTTGTTTCCTGAAAATGTTATAACACTCCCCATTCCCACCCAAATTTTAGATCTCATTTTTTTTTCTTTATTGATTTTAGAGAGAGAGGAAGGGAGAGGGAGAGAGAGAGAGAAACACTGATGAGAGAGAACATTGATCGGCAGCCTCCTGCATGCCCCCTACTGGGGATCTAGCTTACAACCTGAGCATGTGTTTTGACCAGGAATTGAGCCAGTGAACACTTGGTGCATGGGTTGATGCTCAACCACTGAGCCACACCAGCTGGGCTCATGTAATTTTTAAATAATAAACAATCACTTTAAAAAAGTGATTATGGTAGTGACACCTACTTGGCAAAGTTAGCCAGGTTCTGAATGACCTTGGCAATTAGAGTCAGAGTCCGAGACGTGCGGTCATCAGGATACTCCTGCATAAGGTTGAAGAGGCTGGGAGACATGATGGCTGGGCACAGGAAACGCAGAAACAACGAGGCACTGATGAGCCGCTCGCTGATGTCCTGCTTGCCACGGTTCAGGCACTGCTGCTTCCATGATGCAAACACTTCTTTCAACTCACGAGGGAAAACACTGGGGAAGAAAAAAAGATCAGAACTCTGCATAACCCAAGAAAGCGCAAGCAATCTCACTCTGGCCCAACACACCTCCGCTCTAGAGCCAGGCGATGAGGGCCTAGATTTGCGGTGGGGAGGTGGTGGAAAATTCACAGAAGCACAGATGGGGAGTGGAAACCCAAAGCTGTAAAACTTGGGAATGAGTATAAATTTAGTTTTGCAAAGTGGGAAATGGCACAAGGCTCCTGACGACACCATCTGGTTTAATGAAGATCACCATATCTCTCTAAAGACTGTTCATCAAAAATCTTCCAAAAATCTCACCAATTGCTGGGGTTGGAGCAATGATAAAAAACAACTAATACATCTGTTTAACACCAATAAATATTTTAGGAAGCTATTAGAGAATGTGGTGCTAAAATTCTATATAAACGTTGTATTTATGTAGATAGTTCTGAAATTCTTCTGCTTACAATGGAGATTTAGATTTTAGGCAGGACTGTATTAGGGAAAATTTCAGTCCCCTCCCCCTTCCCAAACCCTTCCTTTGACTGGGAGATAATAGTTAACACTGTGATGACTTTTATACAGAAAATGAAAGTTTCATATGTAGAGGAGAAAGCACTAAGACCAGCTCACCAGTAAGAGTTGATGATCTTGCAGAAAGCCAGCTCACAGCACATTTTCAGGTTGCTCTGATGGTCTATCAATTCACTAGAAGAGCATTTGCTGGGATCCACTTCACAGTTCTCATCTGACTCATACAATGCTTTGATGAATTCCCCTATTTGAAGAGAGACGATGGCAGATAGTGGAACTATAAATAGTGTCTTCCTGAATAGAACAAAAGGATTTAGGATTTCTATCCTAAAATGCATAATGGGAAATCTTTCTGAGACCTGACAGGGAGGGTACAAAAGATTGTTCATGAGGGGTTATTGCTTTGGAACCCAAGAGTTACCACCTCCTAAATATCATGTTAGCAATCACTAACATCATCATCATGGTATTTATAAAAATAACAATGATATAACTTTAAATTTTTTATCTGAAATCATAAATAAGTGAGCATGAACTCATTATTGTTTTAAGGCCTCTCTACCAGAGTGAATAATGTTACTATCTTAGAAGAAAAAATAACCCATGCTTGCTTGAATTGCCCACCTAAGGTTTGCAGTGTTAATACTGTTACCAAACATAGATTCGAGTGTCTAGACTTACCTCTTGTAACAAGGACAGTCATTCAACAAAGCACAAGATTGTAGCAGAACATCTCTTTATAATCTGTACATGTTTTTCCACATAGATTTAGCTTAGAGCCCTGTTCATTTATCCTATCCTCTATAACGATATGTCCAACGTTCTCTGAAAGAACAAATCCTTACCTTACCTGTTTATCCATCACTGTATGTATTTTACTGTTCCATGTTTCACACTGTTTTGTGCTTATTTGTTCACATGTCTGTCTCATCTCTAGGATGAATACCTTTGGGGGTCAGGGACCAAGTTCTATTCATGTTCAGATCCTCAGCCTATCAAATAGCTCCCAAAGCTTACTGCAGGTGCTCAATAAATATTTATGAGAGCTGGCAGTATGTGTTCTTGGGTTTTTATAGGCCGTTATGAAAGCGGAGATCTTTCAAAGACCCTTTCAAATCTGTTATATTACTTGAGGTTCAGGCTAGTTATAATAGATTTTATAAAAGTAAACAATGATTTCTTCAAAATTAAGTAGCAGCAGTGATACAAAGAACATTTTCTAGCAAAATGGTTAGTACTGAGGTAAATGAAAGCTTTTAAAAATAGCTATGAGAGAGGATGGGAAGTGGTTATTTGGAAGAAAAATGCATGGAGAACAGGAAACAGTGGTGCCTATAGAGAAGTAGACTGGAGCCAGACAGATCTGGGATCAAATCCTGGGCCCAACACCTAGTGACTGTGTGTTCTTGAAAAGTCACTAAACTAGTCTAAGCTTCAGCTGCCATATTTGAAAAACAGCATAATAACTCTCAACCTACAGAGTTGTGGTGAGGATCAGAAATAATGCATGAAAAGAAAAATGTCTAATATGATGCTTGGCACTCTGTAGGGGCTCCATGCAATAAGTACTGTTGTGTACATATTAGGCAACTTAAAAACAATTTTCATAAAGTAACATGACTAAAATTAGTAAAAGGTTTCTAAAAATGTTTACCAATTCCCAAAGACTTGTAGTCTCCTACACTATGTGCTTCTGTACAATTTACTCCATTTAAAGAGTACCTAAATTTAGTCCTTGCTGGGGTGGTTCAGTGGTTAGAGCATCAGCCTGTATACTGGGGGGTCTTGGGTTCAATTCCCAGTCAAGGGCATGTACTTGGGTTGCAGGTTCGAGTCCTGGTTCTGGTCGGGGCACGTGCAGAGGCAACCAATCGATGTGTCTCTCTTACACCGATGTTTCTCTCTCTCTCTCCCCTTCCCACTTCTCTTCTACTCTCTCTAAAAAAAATCAGTGGAGGGAAAAAATGCAAAAAAGAGTACTTAAATTTAAAACCAAGTCATCATTCTCAAATACTCCAGGTAAAAAGTGACCACCTTTAAATTTACATTTTACATACTCTGTTTAGTGAGTTTCTTAAAGATACACCAGTTCTGGGGAAATAATACTAACACTAATAAATAATTTGTGAATTTTAAGAATATTTTTCTTTTATTCCTCAAGAAAAGAGCCAATAATTCTAGGGTCTGGAAGTAAACTGTCTATAGTTGCAGCCTAAAACATCACCCTACCGCCACCATTATGATATATTTACAATCCTCCAAAACAGGGAAAATTATTTTCACTTTTGAAACTATAACCTAATCTATGTCTGATAATGTGGAAAGCATCACATTGAAAGGTGAATATTTTATAGGTTTGTACCCAGAAGCTGCTTACCCAATAAAAAATTACTGTGACAGATTCAATAACCCATTTACATTTGCTCTCTTGCCTTTGAAAGAAATCAGAGCCAAAGCGGGTGGGTGCTCACTACATGGCCCAAATGAAAGTTTGTACACAGAATATTCTGTGTTTTCTATGTAAAGTGTCAACTCATTACTATCTAGCACCTACATTTCATGTGTAGAAATAAGTCAACAGGTATGAACATATAACTGCTAAAAAAGAATCTGCCTCTGTCACCTAGGATGGAAATCAGGCCTTTCTAGGGACTTCTTTTCTATATGTCGCAGGTGGTATTTCCTGGGTCACAGGACATCACGTGCATCTAATTTCAATCAGAAAGGTAAAGGGGGCTAAGAGATGGGAGGTTCAAGTCTAGCTGAGGCAGAGCCTGAGAAGTAATTAGTAATGTTTTAATCCAGAGAAATGAAGATTACATAATAACCTGGTAACTTTTAACTCAATTTTGAGAATTCTTTAAGTAGTCTGGATATAGCATCTTTTCCTATCCCCACCCCCACCCCGCCAAAATGTATGAAATATAGCAAAACTTTTGTTCAGAGTATTCAGCTATACTTATTAATTTTTTTGGTTTACTGAGACTTCACTGTAAAGTCTTTTAATTTTATTCAATGCTTATTATTACATCTTCAATTATATTATTGGAGGCTTTTGCCATAGCAAGTACAGTATCAGATAGAATCAATTTCTTTAATTCTTTGAAAAAGCACAGGATTTCTCTTTTTTGGTTACAGGGATATAAAGCCTTATTTTTCTTATCTCCCTATACTGTAAGCTCCATGAGGGCAAAATCTATATGCTCATTCAACATACTTTACAGTCTAATCTTGATAGTCATATGTGCTATTGAACACTTAAAAATGTAGCTACTGCAAACTGAAATGTGCAATAAATGTAAAATATACACACTGAATTTCAAGTAGTATAAAAAAATAAAATAAATTTCACTCATTAATAATTTTTATATTGATTACCCGTTAATATTTGGATACATGGGTTAAATAAAATGTTATTAAAATTAATTTCATCTGTGACTGCTAGAAAATTTCAATTACTTATATGTAACTCTATTATGTGTCTATAGGATACAGCTGGTCTACATTCAATATGAAGTACAAGGATATGGAGATTAAAAACACAACCACGCCCTGGCCGGTTTGGCTCAGCGGTTAGAGCGTCGGCCTGCGGTCCAGGGAGACCCGGGTTCGGTTCCCGCTAAGGGCACGTACCTCGGTTGCAGTTTGTCCCCGGCCCTGGCAGGGTTGTGCAGGTGGCAACCACTCGATGTGTCCCTTTCACATCGATGTTTCTCTCTCTCTCCCTCCTACTCTATCTGAAAAAAAAAAAAAGGAAAAATGCCTCGGGTGAGGATAAAAAAAAAAAAATTAAAAACACAACCATGTTCTCCAAGGAACTCAGCCTGTTCTATTATGACGTGTATTGAAATGCCCAGCAGTGTCTTACTGTAGTGGTTCATGCCTGAATTTCATGACCAAGTCTGCAACTGCAAGTGAGTGGCCTAGTCAGCAGGAACTACTAAGTGAAAAAAGTCAGTTATTGTTGAAAATTCTGGAGGCCTTGAACACAGAAATTGAGAATTGTGGGACTTGGCAAGAGTGTTTTCGTTTTTGATATATGGTAACAAATGTTAACCTTTCAAGCCAAAATATTTGTATCATAATATAAATACCCAACACTTTTGGGGAAAGAGGCCACCTCAGTAGTGGCACCCACTAATATTATTGTGTATCTCAGACACTTGAGGGCTTTGGGGTAGCTGCATATGCTGATGGGATTTCTCTTTCTGTACAAATCGTAATAAACCCATGTGCTGTTCCTCCACTGGTGAGTACTGCAGAGATTTCTTAAAGCCATAACTCAAACTTTAATACTCTACTTGGCTACACCTAAACAATATGCAGAAGTTCAGCTCAATTTGTCTCATGAGGATGAAATAACTTCAAATCAAAAGGAGAAGAAAAGAAAACATGTTCTTTCTCCATACCCAATGCATCATGAAGATACTGTTGTCCCACCAGTTTGAGGTATTCCTCAATGGACTTGGTGGCAATGGTGTTCTCTCTGAAGATCAAGACATCATGCTCTCCGCAACGATCCACTTCAGACATCACCAAGTCAGTCAGAAAATCCTGGTGGAATAATGTTCAATCAGGCAGAAAGCAAATGAATAAATATACATCAGAAGAGACTGATGAAATATCACACATTCTGGGAATCCTGCTTTAAAACTAAAGCTACCAGATACATTTGAAAGAAAGAAGTCAGTCAGGATGAAATCTTAGGTGTCACCACTAAATTCCTTCACAGATTTTTCCAATGTGCTGTTGATAAAGACCATAATTCTGAGTGCAGCCTACAAGTCTCCATATGTTCTGGATTCTGTCTACCTTCTTAGCCTCATCTTGTGTTATTCTCTCTATATTCTGTTCCAGCCTCAAGCTCCTCCTTTTTAGGTCCTTGAATACAGCAAGACTTTTCTAACATAAAATGCTGTCTATTCACCACAAAGCTTTGAGCAAGTGCTGTTGTCAGTGGTTGTACTCCCCCATCATTCCCACCCTGACTGTCATGGAGTTAATTCCTCGGGTGTTTTGGATCTTAGTTCACACATCCTTTCCTCGAACCAACACTGCCTTGAACCCCATTAGTCAAGCCCCCTTAATCTATACTTCATAACGTACCTCTTGGCACTTCGCACTGTAATCATACATTTTATTTCTGTAACATTACTTAATTAATATCTGTTTTCCCCAAAAGGCTGTAAGCCCCATGAGGTCAAAGACAGTGTCTATTTTTGTGCACCTCTAGAGTTTCTGCACATATTAGGTATTCAATATCTAACAGTTACAAATTGGTCCACAGATTCAACATGGAATTTCTTTAACTCAACACCTGAACTTATTTTCTAGGCTTTCTGCTACCCCTCTACCCGCAGTCTGCCCATGGAGAAAGAAGGCATAATGAGAAAGAAAATCCTTAGGAAATAGCTGCTTCATTTCTCAACAGTCCAAAGATCCTGATATAAAATTTCAGGTTTATTGTTCAGTTTGAATGGGATAACAAATATTTTGAATGTTATGCATTCACTGGATATATCAAAGTCTCTAAAGTACAAGAACAGGGAGTATGCTAATTTACTTTAAAATTACGCATTTTAAACATTAATGGGATTGAGTCTGGGGCACCTTAAGGGTGTAAAAGACTTGTAGACTTAGGAATTACTATTAAAACTCTTAGGCTAAGGGGCAGGAGGAAACTTTGGGGGTGATGGCAACATTCTGTATCTTGATTGTGCTGGTGGATGTCAAAAATCATTCAATTTTTCACTTTAAATGCATATAGTTTACTGTATGTAAATTGCACCTCAATAAAGTTGTTTGAAAAATCCTACACATATCTTAAACTTTGAAAAGTAAAAAGAACATCCCCTACAATTTCAATGACATCTCACCTCAAATTCTTAAGCTTTTTTAATGCCAAAAAGATGAAGACTATTATCAGTAAATCCAACCACAAAAATTATAATCAATAGGAAGGCAGTTAGATAAGGGACTAAATATTGAATATACTGACATATTCTGATTTACATAAAGAAGTCTTAATAGCATTTTTCTAAAATTATTCTATCTGTGAACTCCTCTAGGTCTGAAATATAATTTTATCATGGCCAATTTGTATACAGCATAATGTCACTCAACCTACTTAAAATGAATGTGCCTCATAGAGGTAATAATTACTACAGTTCAGGCTGATCAAAGAGTATCATTTGGTTGTTTGTTCTTCATACAATTAACATACATCTCTTTCTCATCTTCCTAAATTTTTTGTTCTATCAGAATGAAATAAGAATCATATTATATCAATTATGTAACATCCCTTGATATTTTTTAATCCAAATATAGATTTTAATCCCATGAGGATGCTTGCTAACAACTAGCATGCTTCTGAAAAATCTCCTTCTGTGACCAGGGGCTATGTCATCAGTTAATCTTAATTCAGACAAGATATAGGAGTAAGTCCACCATAGGACACACTCTAGAACTAAAGAGAAACAATCTTGAACACACTGTGGGACTATCACACCAATACTACCATTTATTTTGTCAGACAAGACAGAACTAGCTGTGGTGTCTATCTTCAATGCAAATAAACTTAAAATAAATATTTGTGGTCTCTCCATTTTATTTCTTTAGTTTTACAATCCCCATCTTTTCTGGATCTAAGAACTGCTAGTGGGTTTCTTCTTAATTCTTTTTTTCTTTTCTCTTTTTTGGTCATTAGCAACAAGCATTTCTCTCATTTGGATCTCCACAACACTATATGTTTATTTCTTCATAAAAGCTAAGGAAGAGACTTTGGGTAAGATAATCCTCCTTCCTCACTTACCTTGGCTCTGCCAGTACTTTGAAGAATGTGCACTAAGGCACAGGCCAACTCCTCTTTATTTCTCACACTAATTACTGGTTCAAGGACAGAACACAGCATGGTGTAGTTGCTGGTGACAAATTCTGCAAATTCTTTGTATTGCTCCATAGGCAGAATGGTGATAGTTTGGAAACGTGATTTAATCCGAATGGAAGGTCCTCCTGTCTTTCCTTTGTTGGGTGTTGGTGTACTCACTGGATACCACTTTTCCACAAACTGGCGACCAGTCACACTGGCAGTGGGGATGTTGACTAGTCCTACATAATTATTCTTGTCCTTTTTTTTCTTTTTTTCCACATCTTTATAAATGTGAACTGTGATGCTATGAAGAGGTGGAAGGCTGTAGAATTCAAAATGTTCACCCCAGAAAATATTGTCTGCTTTGGTCTTGCTGGTTGTACGAGCAAAGAGGGTATCATCAAGGCACAGTTCACAGAAATATTTCTTTTTAGGGGCGAGGTCCTTGGCTTCAATGATCCATAAACGGAGAACATTTTCAGCTCGTCTGCAATTGTCCTATAAGGAAGTAACAAAGCTGAGTTTGAGAGCTGAAATCCCAGGAAGACAACATTTTCCTTTTAAAATAGGTTATGTTGCTTTTATACTTTACTATGGGTAATCAATAAATAATTCAAGGAATTGCTATCTCATTTTTCAGGATAATAGGGAACTCTAAACAAGGATGTGTCAGAATCTTAGAGAGTCACATACGTTCTATTTTATTTGGGTTAAAACATATTCAATAACGTAAGTTCTCATGTAGCCTGCGTAGTGGCAACTAGACTGATGTCTACAGATGAAAAAGAGATTAAATAGTTAAGAAACTTGTGTTCTAGTCCCATTTCTATCATGTACTAGCTTCTGATTTGGGCAAGTCACCTAACTTCCCCGAGTCTTCTTATCTACATTGGTAAAATCATGATAATATCTGCAATAACATTATTTTCAGCATAAAATGGTATATATGTTTGGAATGGCAAATGTGTTTAAAAAGTTCTATAAAAATGAGGTATTATCACTGCATTTATCTTCTATCAATTTACTGCTTATAGAGTTATACATTTTTTAGACACTCAAAGCCACTATTACCTTATTTGGTTGAACTGTCCTGCGAAGGTTTTCCATCCACTTATCTCTCTCCGAAGCAGAGTTACAGCTGAAGCATTTACTTCCACTTAAGTAGGTAACCTTCAACATAAAGGTTAGAGATAAGGAAAAGAAAACATAGGGCTTGAGGGCTCTAGTTTCCTAGTTGTATTAGTTACGAGTTAAGGATATGCTATGAACCCAAATCTCACTACATAAAATCAGCTTTGTGATTTATCCATCTACATCTACATCCACTTTTTGCTTGGCATCCTCACTCATCTCCAGATATGACAACAAAGGCCATTGAGAATTCAGCTCAGGAACCTAAAATTGTTCAGTAAGATCAAAATTAGAAACCTTTCCAGCCACATCTTAAATTACCTGCAAATGAATATGCTCAATTCTGAGAGAATTAATGAAAAAATAACTGAAAAGGGAAGAGAGTCTCTAACACAGCTTATCCAATTTCCTGGGATTGTCTTTGAGGCCTCAAGCTCTCTCTCTCTCTCCCCTTCTCTGCCTTGGCTGAGACATCACTAATGCAACCTTCACTGACCATCTGTTGCCCCACTTCCCCCTCCCCAGTTTCGTGTAATTAGGAGGACCAAAAAATTCACTACCTAAAGAGGAAAGACAAGGAGGAGCTGAGTCGGCAGTCACCCTACTACAGTGAGAAGCAGAGGACTACCCAATCTCCTCACTACTTGCCCACGTTTAATAAAAACCTTCCACCCAGTCCCCACTGCCACATCTTGTTCTCTGAAGTTGCCCCCATTCACTTCCCAAGTGCATACTAATGCTTTAATAAATTTATTGTGTTTTGCTAAATCTTTCTGTCACGCTCTTGAAGTCCTTCTTTTTTTATCCTCACCCTAGGACATTTTTGCATTTATCTTCAGATAAAGCAGGAGGGAGAGAGGGAGGAAGAGAGAGAAACACTGACATGAGAAAGATACATCAAGTGGTTGCCACCCACATGACCCCAACCTGGGCCGGGGACAAACTGCAACCTTAGTGGGAACTGAACCCGGGACTCTCCAGTCCACAGGCCAATGCTCTAACCGCTGAGCAAAACCAGCCAGGGCTAGAATTCTTTCTTGTTCTGTGACAAGGACTGGGATCAGGTTGAGGCCTTTCTTGGCCTCCCTGGGTGTTGCCCGGCATCATCTTCACTATAATATTATAAGATGGTACTAAATAAAATTGAAAAGAGTTACTAATATTAGATTACTGTCTTTGGAACCCATTTCTCCTCCACTAGGCAACCCACCTGTTGATTTTTGGTCATTATTAGGTTAACCTGACCACTATTATCACTGTCCTTTAAAAGTGGAACATGTTATCTATTTGCCTAGCACCTAACACTGGGCTTGGTATACAACCAAGTGACTTATAAAAAGAACACTACCAAGTGACCTGTCCAAACTGCTAAGTGTGCTCACATATTAACTCAATCTCAGGTTATAGACTAGTAAATTAGATCAGATTATATATTCTGATCTAATATGGTAGCTACTAGCCACATATGACTAGAGAATACCTAAAATGAATGTAGCTAGTCCAAAATGAGATGAGCTATACATGTAAAATTCACAGATTTTGAAGACTTAGTAACCTCCCCCCTCAAAAGAATGTGAAAAAATATCACTAGTAATTTTTATATTAGTTATATTTTTTATATTAGTTACATGTCTGAAATGATTAAGGGCAATTTGTTCATTTAAGAAATTAGGGACTGGGTGAGGTCCAGGGGATTATAAAAAATAAATAAGACATGGTCCCAGATCTTAAACTGCCCATGCTGTAGTTAAAAAAATTATGTTTTGATCAATTTCCTCAAAGAATCATTAAAATTCGGGGCTTAGCCCTGGCGGGGGTGGCTCAGCTGGTTGGCGTGTCATCCTGTACACCGAAAGGTTGTGGGTACGATTGCCGGTCAGGGCACATACCCAGGTTGCAGGTTTGGTCCCTGGTTGGGGCACATATGAGAGACAACCGATTGATGTTTCTCTCACATTAATGCTTCTCTCTCTCTCTTTCAAGTCAGTATACATAACCTTGGGTGAGGATTAAAAAAAAAAATTGGGGACTTGAATTTTCAGGAGAAAAAATAACACAAAGTTTGATATCTTTACCACTACTAAAAAACTGAAATACTAATGTAATATTATTGTTAGTCTTGTGGCCTCTGCTGAGAATTACTAGGAACCCATTTATTTTGAAAGCAGATTAAGCCAAAAGAAATGAGAAGCCATTAGTAGTAACTTTAATCGCCAATATAATGAGATTAGATTTCCAAACCTTTTCCCTGTAAGTAGGAAATTTCCAATAACTGAAAATGAGTTAAGATGATCGAATCATCAATAGCCTAGTAATGAAATCACAGAATTATTGGATAGAAAATCTGCTTGTTGTTCAATTACTTTTCCTTCTTTCTCTATTTTTTACCTCAAAGCAGAAGTCCTGTCCAAGGATGCTACTATGGAGCGGTTTCACTGCTACAGGCTCCCCTCTGCCAAGGTCCAGACACTCCACTGCACTGCATGGGCTCAGCAAGGACTCATGGGAACGGGACTCTTTTAATTTAGGCAGCCCACGAGACCTAAAATAGAGAAAGATATGTAAGACAGTGTAACTTCTTGGTCAACAAGGAAATGACAGTCGAATGCAATGTAGGCTGACAACAAACGTATAAATGACTAAGAAAAAAATAAATGAGGAGCAAATTAGGAGTTAATCTGTAGCAATAACAGTAATCATATTTATGTGGCACGTATAAACCATATATATATTTGTGTGTGTGCGTGCACACACACACAATTTTTCCTCAATAAAGCAAAGCAAAACAAACAAAAAAAAAAACCACCACCACTATAATTTTACTAGACTCCGGGGACTCAAAGCTGCAGTACAGATGTTTTTATCTTCACTCCTGTTTTGGAGATGAAGAAATATATACTATTCAAGGTTACCTTATATATTCTTATTTATGCAAAGGTATTATCAAAAGACATATTATTTCTGTTTTTTTCATGCTATAGCTTTATCCTCTTCTATCACTGATAAAATAGTAGTGGCTAAATCCTCACTCTGTTTCTTTCTGCTTTGGCAGAATAAACACACACACACACACACACACACACAGAGTCAAAACCAAGCTTTTCATCACAAGACCCTGCCTTTCAAAAGGTCTGATTTCCATCTCAATATGTCATTCTTTTCTGGCAAGCTTTTGGTTCTATCCATGCTTTACTGTATAAATATGAATAAAGAATAAAATGCCTTGAAGAAACCTCCCACCCACAAAAGAAATGTTCAAACTCTCATCTAGAAGAACCGTTCTTTGTGCACACCATTCAGGCATCCTAACCGATTTGGTTTCCTAGCTGTGTAAAAAAGAAGGCTGGGAATCATGACTCTTGTCACTACAGGAGCTAGGACTTCACTAATTCTTCCCCTTGGAAGAATTAGCAAAGTCAAACGATATAAAGTACAATATTTTTGAATCCAGTAATAGATAGCCATGCAGTTTTACTCAATAATAATAGTATTTTTTAACAGAAACAGCCAGGGTTAAATATATAGAGAGATATATATTTCAAGTAGAATTACCTAGTAATAGAGATAAAAAGAAATGCCTTGTGTGAAGACATTTGTTTTTGTAAAACATTAAATAAGCAGCTTCATTCATTTCCTTGAAATAACCATGTTAACAATGAAAGGAACTGAAATAACAGAAATGTCAGAGTAGCTTTCAGTTAAATTATAAAGTAATGAGATAGAGGAAAGTAGCATTAAAGGCTGCTCTTTCCCTCTGTTTTCATTCTAACATCATTTAATCAAACTCCATACAGTAAGAAACATCTTAAGCAATAGGATTTTAGTTCATTCTTCTTTCCCAACTAAAACCTAACTACCATGTAATGTTTAGACTAACAAACATGTACTCTGATATTCAGCAGTCTTTTTAAGGTAAAAAAATCCATAATTATATTTACTATTAATAGTACAAAGTATGCACTAAAAGCCAACTAACGTTTTGTACATGAACATATCACAGTGTAACAGCTCCACATTTATTTCCTTTTGTCCTACTGGATAAGACCACACCATGCCACACACTGCAAAGATAGCACAACAACTATACATAACTAAATGCTAAAACAATTTTACTTTAATGTAATTACCATACCCCCTTTCCCAATACGCTTCATAGGAAGCCTGGTTGAGGCAATAGGATACTGCAATCTTTCTTACACATACAGAAAACAATTCCAGCCCATTTTCCCAGGAGGAGTTGTTTGGAGGGAAAAAAAACCTCTCATACTCTGGTAGTGAGCCTCACAACAGGAAAGAAAAAGGCATATTTAAAATAGAAGGAGGTATATAAAAGGCTCACTTTTATTTTTAAAATTCTCAAGGAAAATATTCTAAAACAGAAATTAATTTTATTTCAAACAAAATAAATGTCTACCTACATGAAGCAACTGTACAGCCAGCTGGCAGTGCAACCCCAAACCATAGCGGTGCCACATGTCACAGTATAGCAAGTCACTTTCTGAACTACATTTCAGAAAACAACTCTCTGTTTAGAAGACAAGAACCAACAGAAGATGGTTTCCCTGCTGCCTTTGGTTACTGATAACATCTTTGGACCAACGTTTTCCAGGTGTAATCTCAAGTCTTCAATAGAAGCAGAACAGAAAGACAAACAACAGAACATGAAGTCGTCTTCCAAACAGACTGCAGGATAGGTAATGTTCCTTCGCTTCCTCAGGCTGCATCAGCCCCTTAGGTAATACAAACAAGGTTCCTGGGCTCTAGGCTGGGCCTGTTGCCATGGTGCTACACCTATAAGGAGATTAGAGCTGAAGGCAGCAGGGAGAAGCTGCGACTTGAAGGACACAGGAGCATGCTCTGCAAGCTTGACCATTTTAAGACAGAAAGAAAGGAATGGCCTTCACCCATTTCCATTGGCCATTTCTCAGAGTCAAAGGCTGTAGGAAAAAACTGAGGCAACCTGGGGGTGCAGGAGAATCTCTTAACTCTACTAGGGAACAAAGTTGAGCAGCTTTAGTTTGCTTCTTATATGATTCCCTGATCCCCACTAGAAGACACTGGCGACATTCTACTGTGCAAGTACAATCTTTCTCTCACATCTGTTCTATTTTCTGTGCAGTGCTTATCCTAGTTTAATATTTCTAGGTATGATTTCACATGATCTTATCTGGGTTACACATTCTTTTTTCTTTTAGAGAAAGCCGGGTAAAATTCTTTATTCACTGTACTTCCAATGATGAACAAATTCCATTTTGATACAAACACAGCTATAAACAGATTTTGTAACCAAGTAATCTGGAATTAGAACTCAAAACTCTTCACAGTTACTGAAATTGCAATTATTAATACATAGTTCAGAACCTCCTATTGTTCAGCATTTATGTATGTATGTATGTATGTGTGTATGTGTGTGTATACACTTACATCCACACAATGAATTGAACACCAAAGTCACTAATATGTTCAACATCACTACTGAATAAATAAGCAAGCCCTTCCTGTTCTGGGAAGAAAGTGTCTTTGGGAAGACAGAAGTAATTCCCAGAGAAGCAGAATTACAGTAAACAGGAAGACCAGGCAGCCTGGGAATGGCTGGGGGTGGGGTGGCATCAGTAACCTCACATCTCTGCTAAATCATGTTTACCACCTCTTGTACCTTCATAAGAATTGACTTTTCTTACATCTGCTAACTAGCGAGTTAGCAGCTTGTATGGCAGTTTACCTCTTTAATACTGCTATATTTTTTTATTTTTTTCTCTTTGTTGATTAGGGGGAGAGAGAGAGAAAGAGAGACAGAAACATCAATGAGAAAAAACATCGAATAGCCACCTCCTGCATACTCCCTACTGGGGATCGGACCCACAACCTGGGCATGTGCCCTGACTGGGAATCGAACTAGCGACCTCTTGGTGCATGGGTCGACGCTCAACCATTGACCCACACCGGTCGGGCGGCAGTTTACTTCTTTAATGGACAGCAGAAAGTGGATTTATTGAGAATAATAAAAGTTGAAAACAACTTTTTACAGTCCAATTTGACAATGGCCTTCGTCAAGGAACCAAGCCTTAAATATAGACACCATGAATCCCTTGACTACTAGCCAGAGTTCTCTTCCCCACCCACACCTCCCACCCCCCAATCCCAAACACCAAGTAAGGATCATTCAGGGCTCCAATTTGACTATTTCTCACTTTAATCAAGAAACTGCTTCCTGGAAGCAATTTAGTTCTAACTAAGGAACACCACGTTTTGTTTTAAGGTCAGCAGACAACCTTGATTTCTGTGTTAATGCCAAGACTTCTAGTAATGTGATAAGTAAGGGTTAAAAATCTAACTGCTTTGCAGATAAGGATTACCTGCTGCTTCTGACCTATTTAAGAGATAAACTACAAGGCTAGAGAGGCTTTCTATTACTACAGTGAGTGAGTATTACATTGCTTTAACCCACATCCCTATCTGAAATGAATCCTAAAAGACAAGTGTGAAGGCATGGAGGATGGGGAGTCAACACACACACCATTGGATACACTGATGAAGAAAAAAGAAGGAGTCAAAGAAGTTTGATTAGTGCAATGTTAAGTAAAACACAGCTGACTTTTTTACTCAGCTTAACCATACAATTTTTTAAAAGCCACATTTTCCCCAAAGTGCCAATAGTGCTTGGATGTGCTGGCTCAATCTGCCGCATGTTTACAGATTCAGCCCAAACTTGGGAAACTTTTAATTAAAAATGCTTATTGCCAAAATCCTGTACTCCAGTTCAGGTGAATTTCTGCTTGGCTTGGCAGTCCTGACTCGAGATTGCTCCACTGAATTCTTGAAGAGCCAGCTCAGCCATAAGCTGGTGCAACAACACATGCTTATATTCACCAGTAAGTATTCCTCCTGCAGTTTGGCTCACCTGAAAATTTCCCAGAGAGCGATGAACACAAGTTGGTTATCCTAACATCAGCAAATTTACACAGGGTCTAATCAGTTGTTGGTTTGAAAGAGCAGATCCTTTCCTGTACTACAATTTAAAAGGTTTCCTTGAAGGAAGGAAGGAAGGAAGGAAGGAAGGAAGGAAGGAAGGAAGGAAGGAAGGAAGGAAGGAAGGAAGGAAGGAAGGAAGGAAGGAAGGAAGGAAGGAAGGGGAAAGGAGGGAGGGAGAGAGGAAAGAAGGAAAGAAGGAAAGAAGGAAAGAAGGAAGGAAGGGGGGGGGGAATTAAAGCTCATTCACCAGAGTTCTACTTGTGTGTCCAAAAAAAGCCTCCTAGCTGCACTGGGTTACCTGCTGCAGGTAAAGGCAGTCCCCACTACTTAGACTATGCACTGCTTTTATGTTAGCTTAAGAAAAACCCCACACAACCAGCCACACAAAAAGCTATTTATGGAAACATAACAGACACTGCTGATCTTCCTTTTCCCTGTTCTCAGTCTCTAGACAGGATGGTCTAATGAGCCCAGCTGCTAATGGTAAAAAAGGATACTTGTCAGCTCAAGTTGTCACTTAAAATGAACAAACACATGGGAAGGAAATTCATCATCATAGACAAAAATGAC